ACTTCAGTGCCATTTTTACTGAAATTAAATCACATTTTACTGAAAATCAGTCGATTTATTACTTTTTTTAAAAAATCTACATTATCATATTAATCGGTAATACAGATCTAATTGCTTCAATCTGTAAAGTAGAATTCTACTAATTTTCAGCGAAATATGACTGAATTTCAGGGTAAAATTTTTTTTACTAAAGTGATTGAGTTACTAAATTCTTACTTTTTTTATTAGTAAAATCTCACTGATTCAAATTTAGAGAGCAGTAAAAATTTTATTTTAAGACAGAAAATGAATCTTATTTTCATTGGCAACATTTTTAAGACGTCAGCATTTGTTGAATTTATAATTTTATTTTACATATTGATCAGCATGTAAAATTAACTTTAATTATATTATGATTATTTCAAGGAAAATAAAATTTATTTTCAGTTGCATGTTATTTTAAGACATTTTTAAGACTCATTTTAAATCTTGAAAATTAAGACCTTAATTTCAAAGTAACTTAATTTTACATTTATCTTATAGAAAATTTACTTTTTACTGTGTTGTATAAAGTAAAAAGAAAATTTCATTTTTATAAAAAAGTTAAGTCTTATTTTAAATTGCAACATTTTTAAGACTAAATTTAATAAGGCAAAGGCTTCTTAAATTAAGACTCGCAAGATTAATATTCATCATCCTCTAATATAAATTTAGAAAATATGCTTAATACGTAATTTGTTTTATTATCTATTAACAGTAAAAAGAAAATCTTCTTTTAAGACAGAAAGACAGTATTATTTTACGATCCAACATTTTTAAGCGAATTTAATTTATACGCTGATTAATAGTGCTGAATTTAAGACTCATCTTAAAGTAAGAATTTCCTTTCACTGTTTTTCTATAAGTATATATCTAATATTCAAATTTTTTTCTCCTAATTTACTAATATAAAAATAAAATCTTAAAACTTAAAATTATTTTGTCTTACATTCAGACAATATTTTTAATTTGTTTTTGAATTTTTTTTATTGGATTAAAATTTGTTATTCATTACTAAATATAATTTAAATAACATAAATCAGTAATAATGTAGATTCAGTAAAAAAAAATGTCATATTATTGATTACGATTGTTGATCTACGTATATTTATGAGATTTTTTTTCAAATGAGAAGAGTAGCAAATCTATAAGAAGACTATAAGAATCTGGTTTGCTCACGAGAAAAGCTTAACGCTGTAAGATTCGAAGAGGGTATAAAGTAAGGAAAATGTAAGCTGAGATCAACCGTACTGATCCCTTTACACTCAGGCGTTTGACACGACCGCTAAAATTTTTACTAGGTTCGATTTGGGCTTTCGAGAATTTCGAGTCCTCTGATTGGTGGACTTTGGCCACGCCCTACACATAAGGGTGGCTTACTCGCCTGAGCACTATCAACCCTTATGTACACTCAATGCGAGAGCACGTATATATATATACATGTGTGGTACCCGCATACATATATATGTATATATGTATAGGGGTGGAAATTCTCTCATACCTATATACCTATACCTATAATGAAAGGACACCCAACCAGGGCCGCACGTGTATGCAAAACAACTTCAAGATCTGTTTTCCCTTTTTACAGTATAAGTAAAGGATCGATTTTACCCTATCAACTTCATATGTGAACGTAATTTTTCATCTCTTGATAAAAGCTTATCACATTCAGAAAATTTTAAATTATCAGTAAATAAATTTAAGGAGAGGGACCATTGAAATTTTCCTTGTTATTAGGCAAAAATTTATTTTTAATTCAAATAATCGATTACTTGACTATTAACTAATAAATATTTACTTGAACCAAATATATATAATTATAATCGATTACTTGCGACTATAATCAAATAAATATTTACTTGAAGCAAATAATTTTTATTTAAATTAAATAAACTTATTTGAACCAATAATTTTTTGTATTTGAAACAAATATACCATTTAATTGACACAAATAAAAATTATTTGGAAATATTTATTTGATAATAGTAAATAAGACAAATTTTTAAAATCCATACCCGTTGATTGTTCAAAATCATAAAAAAATACTTTTAAAAAATTGTCGATAAAAAAAATTTTTAAATTGTAGAAGAAGATCAATTTTAAAATATTAAAAATTGTGTAAGAAAGTTAAAATTTCAATTTTTTTTTTAATTTTAGGTATTGTTACAAAATTTGTTAATTAATAAATTTTTTTCTAAATTTTTATAACTCAGCATTATTTTATAAACTTAATAAGATTGAAAAATAAAATTTATACCCTAAAAAACCGAAAATTTCAGAGTTAAAAATTCACTGATACCTTCCCTTAATTATTCTTATTTATTAGTTTCTTTTGTTAATTAAGATTCATTTAAAAAAATTTTAATAAAATCTTTTTTGTCTTTTAATATAAATTTTACAGTTGATAATTATTTAATTAAAAAAATTTAATTTAACCGAATTTTCATTTATCATTATTTTAATCTAATAAAAATTTCTACTTAGTTAAATTTAAATCTTTTTACATTTGAAAAAACTGTCTGGTTTTATCATATAAAAACATCCGCTAGAAATATTTGAGCGGGAATTTTAAAATTAACCAATCAAAAATTATCACGAAAATTACGTGATTGGCTTATTTTAAAATTCGCGCGATAATGTTTCTACAGGATGTTTGATTGGACAAATAGGAGTTCTATATTAATTTAAAATTTAAAAATTCACTAAATAGAAATTTTTTTAAATTTTGAATATACAAACATTTAAAAAATTTAATTATTTTAATCAAATAATTAAACATTTACATTATTTAAATTAAATGATTATTTATTTACATTATTTAAATTAAATAATTAAAAATAAATCAAGATTTAAAGAAAGTGTTCATTTTTTTGCAATAAATAAATGAAAATGCATAATCAGTTTTTTATAGGGCTTTTAAGAAGGGGAAGGGGGTTTGAATACCATAATTGGGTCAAAAAAATAGTTATGCAAAAAAAAATAAAAATTAGAAATTTTAGTTTAGCAATATAATTAATTTATTCTTAAATTTAATTAATGTAGGTAATAATAATGACTAACCTTAAAATTTCCAGTAATTTAACTCCTTATCTCATCATTCATCTAGTCGAGAAATTTGAAATACTATTCAGGAATTTTTTCTTTTTTTGGTACAGATGAACATACTCCAAGAGTTTAATAACCTTTCCCTTTTCTTCTTTTTTCACCTGCAAAAATAATACTTTTTAACACAAAAAACACTCGCGAAATACTCCAAGAGCTTAATAAACATTCACTTTTTTTTTACTTTTCCCATTGCTAAAACAATACTATTTAACACAAAAAAAACTTGCGAAATATTTTATAACCTTAAATTTTACAACTTACTACAGGAATTTTTTTTTAATATATATTTATTCATATGGAATTATTTATATTGTTTTTGAAATATATTTCCGAATATACTGATTATATTAAAATAATTAAATAATTATTTTGTCGAAATATTAAAAAGAAATATTCCTAAATATTTAAGACTAATGATGGACAATTTCAAAATTGATGTTTTACACGTGTACTAAAATTTCCACATTTTTATATTTTGCACATTTCAATTTAAAATGAATCGGAAACAAATATTTTTATCTAATCAGAAAATAGATTTCAAAAAGATATTCAACTACTTGCAAATCACTATAAACAATAAATTAAATAAGGAAAATAAATTCGAATTTTAATTTTGACTTTTGAGATTAACCTCAAAAAGTTGAAAGCGTCGTTTTGTCCTCCATTAAGGCGCTCTCACACCTTTTTGGCTGCCTGCAGGTTACCATGGCAACGCATGAGAGTGAGTGCGACAGAAAATTTAAAAATTTGAATATTCAAATTTTCTGTCTCACTCACACTCGTGCGTTGCCATGGTAACCTGCAGGCAGGCAGGCAGCCAAAAAAGGTGTGAGTGCGCCATTATACTATTTAAACACATTTAAATATTTTATATAAACTGATGCAATAATTATTCAGTCAAATCAGTGAAAAATATAATACCTTTGCGACGATTAAATAAATACACTTGTTATTAACCTCAGAACCGCGGGGGAGGAGCAAATAAAATCTGCCGGGAATTGAGAATGAAAATAAAATTATTTTTGAGAAAGATAATCAATGAGAATCAAGATTCTCATTTTCATAGGTTATAATTATAATTGGGAAAATTATCAGAAATATATACGAAATAGAGGAAATTTAGAAAAATCCTGGAAAAATAAAATACATAAAATATGAAAAATCTTACTTGACATGAAATAATTATAAATTATAACCCTAAAATCAATGGCGTCATTTGTTTAATCGACAATTCATTAATAGACAAATTATAACAATTTCCTAAACATTAGAATAAATTCTAAAGACTTTATATACAATTACCATACAAATTCCAGTTTCTGATAATATCTATAAAATAGAAAAAAAAACTCAAATGAATTGATAAATTTTAACGTTCTTCAACTATGAAGCGCAGGAGGGGAAGTGACAAAATTTCGCGGGAAAGTCTATCATGAAGGAGTGGGGGAGCAATCCAGTATAGGCTAATCAGAATCGAGAACGATTTTTGAACTTCTTGGCGCGAAATGAAAGCAATATTTGAAATTCATATTTAAAAAAATATAATTACACTAGGAAAACTATAATTTTTTCAAAAAGTAAACACTTATTGTTGAATTTTCCGAACTTTCTAAAATAGTTTTATGGGAAATAGCTATATTTTATTTGGTGCTTTAATAAGTGTGTAAAATTAAAATAATTATTATTTTTCTATTTATTATCATTACTATAATTATTTACTCTTATTATTATTATTATTATTATTATTATTATTATTATTATTATTATTAATATTATACTATTATCATTATTATTATTATTAATATTATTATATTAGAATTGAAATTAATAATAATAAACAATAAAATAATAGAAGAATTATTTTAAAAAAACCTTTAGACATAAAAATTATAATCATGTATAGTTTCCTCAGCCCAACATTCATCGAAACATGTTTTACAATTTATTTTTAAATTTGATTTACGATTGTCATTATCACTATCGTGTTTAAAATAATTATCATCATCATCATCATTATCATTATCATGATTATTTTTCTCAACAAGAAAACTATTAAGATTTGGTTTTGAACAGCCACTTTTCATCTCCTCTGAAATAAAATTTATACATCTATAAACATTTGCATATTGATCAATTTCTCCAATTCCACAACCGAATAATAATGAAGCAATTCCAACAACTACTCCATTAACAACCAAAGGACTTCCATTGTCAAACTGAAAAATTATAACTGTTTAATTCAAAAAAATAAATTCAATTAATTAAAAAATTAAAATGACTTAATAATAATGATAATGATATTAATAATAATAACAATAATAATAATGACAATATTAATAATAAAATAATAATAGATATTAATAATAAATATAATTTACGTATCAAATTATTAAAAATAGAAATTATATTATTATAAAATGAAGTAAATATCGCTTCATTTATAATATAATCAAGAATTTAAGATAAAGTTTTAAAATTTGTATAATTTTGTTTTTCTTTAGTCTCTTTTTTTCATTGGAAAAAAACTTACGTTACAGAATCCTTTTCCTTTTTCACTTTTGGTGCAAATTCGACTCCCGTCTGAAAAAGATTTTGTTTGTGCCATTTTGGCACAAGTTTTTGGTGTGTAAACTTTTGTGACTAACTTCTGTAAAATATCGGGATTTTTTTCTGTTTCCGTATGACCCCAGCCAGATATAATAGCTTCTTCGCCGTCTTTTACCGGACCAGTTGGCAATTTAATCGGTCTTTGAAATAAATTAAATTTTATATCATCGCACACCTGAAATTTATTTATTTTAAAAAAAATTAAATTTCCACAATTTTTAATTAAATATCTAAAATATTTAATTTATAATAAAATTGTAACTTTGATTTGTTTTACAATAAAGTTTATATTATTAATATGTTGATTAATTAAACTTTCTAAACGTTTTAAATAATTATTAATAAAAAAAATTAAAAATAATCAAAATTTTGTTTAATTACTTACGGTTACAACTCCAATGTCATAACGTATATTATCGGGATAATGTTTATGAAATAGAGGATGAGCAATTGCGTGTATTATCCGATGAACTTTTCCACCATGATTTAAACTAACAGTCCCAGTAATTACAATAGAACGATCAAATGGTCTTGTGTGATATTTTGCACACATGCCACCAGTCAAAATGTGTCTCTCACTAATAATTGCACCTCCGCAAATATCACCTCTCACTAATTGCTTTACAAGTGCCATATAAGGTAAATCACCTCGATTCGTATCTTCGCCACCAAATATTCTAGTCATCGGTTTTAACATTTTCCCTACAGAAAAAATAGCAAATGAAAAAATCGAGTTTTGAAACAATTTTTTTTTTAATTTTACTAGATTTATATCTTACCACTTTTTATTAAAATTGACAGAAAAACAACAAACAAAACTCCTCGATTGAACATTGATGATTCCACTTTTGTTGATTGACTAATAAAATATAAAATTCAATTATAAAACAAATTATTAAAAAAATCATTTAAAAAAAAAATTCGATTTAACTAACTTTATGTTTAGTTATTTACAAAATTTAATGTTTACATTAATTTAATTACATTAATTTTTGCAAATAATTAAACATAGAGATGATTAAATTTTACATTAAAAAAATTTTCCTTTTTTATCAGCTTCATGTTTAATTATTTGCAAAATTTAATGTTTACATTACCTTCATTACATTAAATTTTGCAAATAACTAAATATAAAGATGACTGAATTTTACAAAAAAAAATTTCAACTTTATGTTTAATTATTTGCAAAATTTAATGTTTACAATAATTTAAATACATTAAATTTTACAAACAGTTAAAAATAAAGTTGATAAAAATAAATTTTACAAATATTATTGAATATTAAGCGAATCAATTTACAAAAAAAAATTATTACTTTTAAAAATAATAAAATACAAATATTGTATTTAAAAAAAAAATTTTAGTTCCAAATGCAAGAAACTAATTGAGAAATGAAAAAAAATTTACCACAAACGATAGCAATAAAATAAATCAATTCGTTAGCATTAAATTTTTACACACGTGAATATTTCAATTATTTGCGCCAATTACGTATCGAATCAATTCGCTTTTAAATGATTTACATTTGAAAAACAATTATCAAAATATAGTTCAAAAAAAAATAGTAAAATACAAACATTAAAATCAAAACGCAACCTAAACTCACATTTAACAAAATAAAATTAAAATAAAATACATTTTCTAAAATAAATAAATAAATAAAAATAATTATTTAATAAATTATTCTAAAAAAAAATTATACTGAAAAAATGATTTAAACATTAAATATCTCATTTAATATGTTTGCAAAAAAAAGTGATTTACTAACAATTAGAAAATGTATATTATGGAACATATAATTTCGCATTATGTATATCAATTTATTTAAACAATATTTGTTTTATAATACAATTTCATGTTCTGTCATTCGCGCAGCATTCAGTCTCATTCGCAATATGTGGACTATGTAGATATTTTTTTTAGCATAAAAATACAATTGTGTGTTGTTCACTCTTTTTTTCGAAATACGTTTTCCTCTCTTTTTTTTTTCTTTTAGGAAAATGCCATTTGCCAGTCTTATATAAATGTTTGAGCTGCCTTCTTATTACAATTACAAGGTACACTACAATTATTATTATTTAAAAAAAGAGAAAAAAAACTTTAATTATCACAATTAAAAATTTTAGAAACAAATTTAAAAAATAATTTTAAAAAAGTAAAGTCCAAAATAGAAGAATTGCTAACAAAAATAATAGTTTTTTTTTTTTTTAATATTTATAAAAGTAAAAACGAAATTTTGGTTTCCTAGCTAAAGTTTTGTTCGAATTGAAAAATATTTCCGGGCATGTGTGATACATTATCGTGTCAGTAATCGAGTCATTAAAATTACCAATCGTCAAATTTTGAAATTTTACAATATCGAAAAAATGACATTGAAAATTTATTTTTAAATTTAAAATTTATTTCCAAACTATGTAAATAGGTATAAACTTTTTTATAATTTGATTTTATAAGTTTCTGTACAAAATCATAATTTTATGGGTTTTAATATTTTTATTAATATGAAATTTTTTTTTAATTAAAAATGTTTATTAATTGAAAAACGAAACGATTAAAATTTTTTAATGATTTGTTTAGTGACGTAATAATGTAAACATATTTCCTTAGTTAGATCAAGCTTATATTAAATTTTTACAACAGATCTTTTAGAAAAGTCTACTTCTATTTTTAGGAATTCTTAAGAAAAATTTCTTATTATTAATTAATTTATTCCTTTTTTTGTTTGTTTGTTTGTTTTTTTTTTTTTTTTGAAGAAATTAATAATTTCTTCTGTCACTTTAGTAAATTTCTATATAATAGCAAGTGAAAAAATTGCTTTCGGCAAATCGCTTTCCTACGATATATTATATATATACTTTTTTTTTTATAAATCTTGTCACACATTTTTTCGGATTCGCATTCGCAACATCATTAAGACTAGAATAAGCTGAATATATAATCCGATGTGGTATGAGCCTTAATGTAAAATATACAGAGAACATTACTTTGAAGAAATGTTTTTTATAAAAAAAAAACAAAATCTACTTTTCATTAATTTTAGAATTTCAATGAATTGTACAATATAATTCTAATTCAATGACAATTCGATTTCGATGACTTACTTTTTTTTTTTTTAATCAATTTCGCACCTTTCATTACAAAAGGAATTTTTTTTTATAGACTATTTTCGAATATAATTTATACATCGAATATAATAATATTCGATATAATAATTATAAAATACATTACAAATTTATATATATAAATAAATTAGACATTCTAATAACATTGAAATAATATCAAAAATGACGGTATGTGCGCAGGAAATGAATTTTCAAAAATCCAGTTTAAATCACTTGTTCTATATCAAGTCATAAAATTTGCACAATCAAATTTTATCAGCTAAAATACAAATTTTGTTTCTGTCTTTAACTTGGTATGAATTTAATTTAATACATTTCATATTTTGAGTCATTAAATAAAATTAAAAAAATTTTCTAGGCCGATCGTCATTAAAATTAATTTTAATAACTGTGATAATTTTTTCCAATTTTTACAACAATAATTTATATTTATTATCATAAAAAATTAATTTTAACATAAAGAAAAAGAATTTTTCTTTTACTTTAAAAATATAGAGACAATTTAATAACATTTAAAAAGATATAGAATCTTATTTACAATATTGAAAAAGTTTTCTATAGAAATTAATATTGCAAAAGATCCGAACGAAATTACAAAAAAAAAAAAAAATGTTTATTACAAAAATTCTCAAATTATGACTCATAATTGATCTGCATTTTGAATTTTCAAACATACCTATATATATAATATATACAGCGGTCTTAAGAATGTGTTATTCTTAAAAATAAAAAATTACATTACAAACAAAGCGAAACGCATTGAAATTTTTTTTTGGCTTTTCGCTTTTCATATCTTTTTTTTTTCTTGTAGTTTTTTTTTATATAAAAAAATGGTTAATCCTACAGTCGATGAATTATCATGAAAAACATGTTAAACATTTTTTTAAAATGCTTAAATATTTATTTGATTCGCTACCAATTAATGAATAATGAGAAGAGCAATGAATATGTGTGAGAAAAATAGGAAATACTTTCGAAGAAAGAAAATTCTCTTCTCCAATTAAAAAAAAAACTGTCTTCTATATACAGACGAGAAACTAAATTTTTCATTAGTTTCTTTTTGTTTCTTGCTAAAATGTGCAAAATGTATATATATATACGAATTCGTTCGAATTGAAATATATATTCGACTATTTACAATAAAAATGTTATTACAATCGGTAATTAATAAATTTTACGTGGGAAGCGAAGAGTTTTTTTTCTTTTTTTTCTTTTTTTTTATTGAAACACGATTTCTTGGCTCTACTTCATTCGTATATTATATCAAAGTATCGAATAAAAATAAATACTTCCCATCTACATTCCTATAGAAAAACTGGCTGCCATCTCTATTACTACAAAAATCTTCTATGAGTATCGAAATTTTAAATATCATTCTTTTTTTTATCTTTTAAATCGAGACCGAGGTTTTTTTTTTATCTTTTTGTACATAGTCCTATTCTTAAATCTACATTCGAGTTCGATTTCGTCCTTACAAAATAAGAAATTCGAGATTCTTTGCATAATTCTACTGCAAAGTGAAAATTATTAATTTAATGTATTATGATCTTTCTTTTATGACATGTTTCTTTTTCCTCCACTTTTTCTTATGAATTCTTTAAACTTTAATCAGTCCTTCATTTAAAATTGGAATGTCAAGGATATTTTCCAATTATATTGCTACAGTCAAGAGACTAACAAAAGTCTAATTTAAAAGTTTAATTATTTTAAATAATTCTTTAAATGATTGAAATAAAATATTCTTTAAAAAAGAATTATAATAAACAAAAATTGAAGTGTCTCGAATACTGTTTTTTTAAAAAAAAGTCACTGTGTATTATAATTACATACACTAAAAAAAGAAAGTTCAAAATTTGTTTCTATAAAAAAAGTTCCATTAAAAAACAATGGATTTAACTCAAAATTAAGAAAGATAGTATAGATGTAAAGATTTTTTTTATAATTTAAGATATATTAAAAAATTGTCAATGGGAAGAACGAAAAGGAATTCAATATTAAAATTAGTAAATTGAAAATTTCCTAAAAAGCTTTTTTTTTGAGTATTTAAAACGTATTCAGGACGAAGTTTTTTTTATAATGGAAAGATATAAAGTGAAAATCTAGACGAAACTATCACTATTATTGCAACGACTTCATTCCTTTTTATAAGTTCCATAGAATTTTAATTTCGAATTTTTTTTTTCGGAACCATTTCATTACAAATTTGTCAAATTAATGATAAACGTCCGAAGCGTTCATTGAATTGAAAATTATTTTCCAAAACAATCGATGAAACAATATTTTTCTTGTTAAAAATAATTTCCATAATTAATAATTTTATTTTTCATTCATCAAAAATTCTTAAATATTTGCTATGAATAATTATTTAGCACAGCCTGGACGTTCGTCATTAAAAACTTCTTTAGCCCGCATTCAAAATGAAACAATGAAAAAATGCTTCACTTTTCTTTTTTGCTCTCTTCAAAATTCTAATATCTTTTTTTTTCTATATACAGTTCTGTACAATTCTCGCATCGATGGAATCAAAATTGATTTCATATTAATTAAATTAGCAATATTTACATCACTATAAACTAATATTAATTAATATTAATCAATATTATTTATATTATTAGTTTATTAATTTCATAATAAACTATTATTGTTCATTAATTTCATTATAAACTACTGTTCATTATTAAGTTTATTAATTTTATAATAAACTATATCTGGAGGAAAAAAAATTAAAAACAAACTTCTAAATATTACATCTAGATGTAAAACGTAGACATATATATGTATAAATATATATATAAAAAAAAACTTAAAAGCGATATTTGAAATTCAAAGCTTGAAAATTAATCTGCTCTTGTAACTGTCGCTCAAATAAAATCAGAACACAAGGAGGGAAAAAAGATTAATTAATTCTAACTGGACTTTGAACAAAACGAGAAAAAAAAAATAGAAAAAAATGAACACAACTGGCATAATTAAAAAAGGGCACCAAAGTCTTAAGCGACAAGTTTTCTTTTTTTTTTAATAAAGAAAATGTATGTAAGCTTTTCCATCGACGCAAGTTAATTTTATAAAGAGAAAAGACTGTAAAAAGTCTCCTAATTAAAGATTATCCTGGCGAGTTTTAATATATTTGTTGATTTTTTTTTTTATTTAATTTACCGCTAAATGCACGTGGAGTCTGGATGTTGACTGGCTGATTTTCTCGATTTTTTCGGCTCCTTCGTGGTCAATTCTTGAGATGGTCTTCGAGGACTGCCCAATGTGACCAACGCAGATGCAACAGCCAAACCGGCACTTTGTCCCTCTGGTGTGTACGGCTCTCCACCAGTTGGTAATCTGACTAGCAATGATAAAACTGCTGCTCTATTCCCAGAACATGGCTCCAAAGCAATTGGACTCGGTGCATCCTGAACAAACAAATGTCAGATTAAAATTTTCGAAAAAAAAATTGATTTTTAATTTTACATAAATATAAAAGGAACGTGTTAGTTTAAAAAAAAAGACGAACCTTTTTCTTTTTCCGCAAATTATTCAATTCGTCCTCATTTCTATCAGTTTCAGAATCGCTGCTGTCGCGCTTTTCAATTTCAACCAAAACTTGACTGAACGCTCTGCTTGCCATTTGCTCCATCTCAACGAAAAGCCTCTGTCTCCTTCGATACAAGTCGTATTTTTGTTTTATTTTCCAAAGGAATGCTGCCACCATCAGAAGAGCGAAAAAACACCTGTGCGGAGTCATGTAGTCTCTAGTTTACAAGTAAGTACTGCCTGAGGTTCAGGATAATAGAAAAGAAAACACAATCGCGAGCAAAGAAAAATCGCGCCACCTCCCTCCCATCCCTTTTTCCAAAATAATAATAAATTTAATTTTTTTTCGACAAAATAATATTAAAAACTTAAAAATAAACGAGAAAAAATATTATATTGAAAGAAAACCAAAAAAAGAATAACAAAAATAAAATAAAGGAAAAAGTATGTAAATAATTAAGAAAACACTTACGTGGAAAATGTGATGAAAAATTGTTGAAGATTAAGTTTCGAATATTGGGAGAATGAAATTTGTATCCACAATGGTGGTTGGAAGTCATAAACGTATACGTAGAAAGTGGTAAGTGTATTGTTGTCCTCACTTCCAAAATTATAATCAGTTTTATAGAAACGTTGTTTGTACGTTGAACAATTAGTGTGCAATAGTGGCAATTCGGGACTATTGATCTTTTTAAATGTAATGTTCATTTTTGCGAATACAGAACATGTTATTGTAAATTCTGCATCAACATCGGGTTTAGGCGGCGAATTTTTAAAGTTAATCGCTGTGTAATGTCGATCTTCTTTCTTGCTAAGATTAAATGTAAATTGATAATCAATCGCCAAATCGTCTGCAATAGAAACAGAAAATTAAATTTTATTGTGCCTAAAATTAAAGAACTTAATATGTAAAATAAAAATTTACTTACAAAAACAAGATCCTTTTGTAGGATCTCCATGATAAAGACCACTCACATCACAGCGTTCACAATGATCGCCAGTAATGCCTTTCGTTGTACAGAAACATTTTCCCGTTTCACTGGTGCACTGACTGGCTTGGCCATTACAAAAACAACCTAAATGAGCAATTAATAAATATCAAATTTAAATGATAATGAAAACAAAAGGAAAATCAATCAATCAATTTGAAATTAAATCCAAGTGAATTTAAATACAATTTAATTAAAACCAAATTGAATGTTCTTGTTTGGAAATTTTATTCTTACGTTGACAAGTTGCGCCATTAACAGGACTCCCGTAATATCCAGGGATACATTTATCACAGTGGGATCCATACGTTAAATTAGCACAAGGTTGAATGCAAACGCTACTGTTTGGAAGACACGTACTATGGCCGTTACATTGGCAAGCTGAAAAATTAATTTAAATTTAATTAATTGAAATTAACTGATTATTAATTAACTTATTAACTGAAATTTAAGTAATTGAATAAAACTTGAAAAAAATTGAACAAAATAATTATATAAAAATGATGAATAATTTACTTGGACATTCGGTGAAGTACCACCGATCGTTGACACATGTGTCTGTTCCAGAATTCCAGTGTCGTGCTCCGCCACTCATACATCGGCCTTTTCCCGTTCCCGAACCATCATCACACCAACCACAAGCCGGATCGGAGATGCAACTCGAGCACGATGAATAGAAACTACACCATTCTTTTCCCGTTTCAGTTGCACGACAACGTGAATCAAGTGTCGTCCATTCGCGACACTGTCCATATGGAAAACTCGCTGGATATGCATTTCTATCAACGCATTTTCCCTCATTTTGACACCAAATACATTCGGATTCTGTGCAATTTCTACAGGATGTATACTCCACACATGGACTGCGACACGTGTCCATCGTCAATCGTTGAGGCTGAGTCACATTGATGGCGATTAGCTTTTGTTCCAACAAATAAAATATAAATCGTTGAAAATTAAACGAAAGAAGCCAACACACATTCAGCTCACAAATAAACAAAAAGAATCTAAATGTACAAGGCGCACAGTTATTCCATAAAAATAATTACAATTTTCATTTTTCGAATTAGAATTTCTTTTTAAACGAATTCTTTAGAATGAAAATTGTAACTAATGATTTTTACAATCATGCGCACCAAAATGTACATTTTTTAAAAAATATAATTGTACATAAATGAAATAAAATTGTCAAATAAAAAGAAAAATATATTACAAAAGATAAATTATATTAATAGTAATTAATTTTCACAATAGAAAATTTCTTCCGTATTGCTAATAATAAAGAAAAACAATGCAAACTTACGTCTCGATTTTTGGCGATGGGTTTACATCGATCGGGTCCATTGGACCAGGACCAAGTGCAATAAGGATTACTGGAGCATGCTTGACACGTGTGAAATTGAAGACACTCAATTCCCGTATGCGCTTCGCATTGATCTAATTCAGTAACGACAGCGCGTCCTGGCGGTATTCGCATGTGACAAATTTCATGGGAACAAACTTTACCGCACCAAACGCAATTATAGGATGTTTGAACACATGCTGAACAATCAGTGAGTAATCGACAGAGTTCCTTGAGCGATGTCATTCCGTGCGATGGTGTTTCATCAAAACATTTCATATACGTCTCATCGCGACGTCTATCAATTTTTGTGATTGGCACACATATACTATCCTTTCTATCCCAAACACATTTCACTCCAATTCGCGCGTTCAAACAATTTTGATAGGTCAAATGTTCACACGTTCCAGGTGTGTATCTACGAATAAATTGTATTTATAAATTAATACATGCGTTTGCTAATTATTTAATAAAAATAAATATTCATGCTTTTTAAACAGAAATTCAGTGACATTTCCATGTGTTATAGAAATCCTGATATTTTAAAACATAATCCCCTTTTTTATAAACTATAATAAAAAAAAAAATTAAAATTCCCTTCGTAATTAAAAAAAAATAATACCTGAGCATATCGGAGAGCATCTGTCCATCGAAACCACCGTAAATATACATCGACTTTTCAAAGACCGTCGAGCTGTGTCCATATCGTGGAAGATTGACCATTTCCTTTGGTAAATCTTCCCACTTATCAGGCGAGCCTTGCCACTTCATAGGAAATTGATGCCATGAATCGCAAATAGCATCATACGCAATTGTATCAGCCGAATAGCATCTTGCTCCATGTGAATGTAGTGTATCATTGTGCGTATTACCACCGAAGACAATCATCATTCCACTGGTGATAAAAACTCCGGTATGGAAGAATCGTGCCGATGGAGCGGAAGTCAATAATCTCCATTCTTGTCTCATATAATTATAAGAGTACAATCGACTCGTTAGCGTTTGCGAAAGTTGTGATTCCGAGATACATCCACCATAAACATAAATGAGATTTGTCAATGGATCGTGTGCTGAACTGTGACCATAACCACCTTTCACAGGGAAACCATAAGTCTCAACAATTTGCCATTCACGCGTTCCAAAATGATATTCCTGAACTGTATTCAAATATCCATATTGTGGCGAATGACCAAAAATTATCACCATTTTCTCCGTTTTTCCATGAACGAGATTCGCTGTATGTCCAGCGACCTAAAATATTTACAATTTTTCGTTAAAAAAAAAATAATAATAATCGATTCTAATGAAATTAAAACCAATTGAAAAATAAATTTTCCCCAATAAAAAGAATTAAATCCAATCAATTAGAATTAAATTCGATTAATTAATGATCGATTAGAATTAATTTCGATCAATTAAAACTAAATCTAATAAAATTTAGATTCGTAAATAATAGAAAAAGGTGATTTATTTTTAAATAAATCTCTACCTTGAGTGGTCCGCACATAGAACGATTGCTGCATTCGTCGTGAACGGTGACGTTCTCCCAAACCTTGGCAGAAACATCGAACGCCCACAATTCGTTGGTCACTGTCGAGTTTTGAATGACGCCACCGTACAAGTAGATTTTATCCCCAAAGAGAACACAGGAATGACCGTAACGAGGCAGTGGAAGTTTACCCTCTACGTGAGGTGTTTCCCAAACGTTTCCATTGAAATCATAGACATAGATCATTTTCGCCCGATGAAAACTTTCGCCACCCACCACGTAAAGCGAATCCCTCCAAACTATCGCACAATGGCTCGCTGAGCCTTCAGGAGAAAAATCCTTATACGTGATGGATTCCCAGTAACCACGCTCACTTCTCTGACTGCAGTCTGATCCTGAAAAAAATTATAATAACTCAATTTTTTTTCAAAAAAAAAAACCAAAATATCGAATTTATTTCATATTTTTGTTTCATTAAAATTATTTACAATATTTCTGAAACCAATTTCAATTTTTCCAAAAAAAAAAAATTCAAAATCGTTTCGTTTTACACATTAATTGGCTGATATTCTAATCGATATTCATTAGAATTCCAATTTACACGCGGCTAAAAAAAATAATGAATGAAATAAATTTAAAGCTCTTCTAATCGATAAACTCGGAGTGAGAAGAGTCTAATTAACAAATCGATTTAACGTCAGACGCCGTTGTCCTCCAACCGTGAATTGAGAGCTTCAATAACGCGTGGGAGGCTCAATTAACGAGGAGTCTTATTCTTTTTTTTGTGTCCCTCATTAGCAGAAGAAGCATCACACAGAATTGTACGCACATGCGCTTACGAAGAGACGTACACAGCTTTTCAAAACTCGTTGCTTTGTTTTGTAGCGCGCCACAAAAAAAAAAATGCAAAATAAAACGAAGCTAGCAATTATATTTTCACGGTTGTTTGTCGGGGAATGATGTCTCTATACATTTTTGAAGGGAACTTGTTTGCTTTTTTTTTTTTTTTATTTATTTACTTCCTACTTTTTTTTATAAACAAGTTCCTTACACATATTTCTACAAATTTTCTCTCTCTCGTATTTGCTTCTCTCGTTTAACTGTTTAACGGAATATGAGAGGTTTTTTTTTTATATATACTAGAGTGGCTTTTAAAAGTTCGTTGAACTTATATTTGTATTGCCTCGACTTTATTTTTTTCTATCCCTTTTTATTTTCACTTATCATATTTTTATAATATATCCTTATTAAAACGTCGCCTTGGTATCAAAATAAGGATTTATTATAATAATGGAATTATCCGATAAAATAGCTTTAAAAAAAGTGATCTCAAATTTTTCGAGATTTTAAAAAATAAAAAAGAGCGAAACAACGAATTTTTTTTCCCCCGTCAATTCAAATTTATTAACGCAAATTGTGATGTTAAACATTACGTTTAAGAATGATAATGCGAATTTCATAAATTGTTTTATGTTCTTTAATGACTCAGAATTTTCTTAACTTTTTTTTTTCTTAATTAACCCGGATTTTTGTTTTACCGTTTTTAATTTGAAAATTACTACTCAATAACAGTTCTATACGGAAGCTATAAAAATAGTAATAAAATTGTTTCATTCGATTTTGAACTGAATAACGGAATTTAAATTTGAATATTTAATAAAAAAAAAAATTAAAAAGTTTTCATTTTAAAAATTTCTAATTTTTTTTGACAAATCAAAATATTTTTATTTACGAATTTCACGATTTTTTTTGGTAAAAATAAAAAAAAAATGAAATGAAATTCGTGGTTATTAAATTAAAAGTAGAAAATAAAAATTTGGTATTCTTTTTTCTCCATCCAGCCTTTGGGATCCTTTTTTTATTATTGGAAATGAACGTGACTGATCTTATCGAAAGCATTATATGACGTGGTTTTTACCTTTGAATCCACGAGCACATTCGCAGTGGTGCTTCTCTCGATTGCATTCGCCCTGACCATGGTGAGCTGAACAATTGTTGGGACAGACTTGCTCGTCACAGGCTTCCCCAGTCCACGTGGCATCACACGTACACACCCCCTCTATGCAAACTCCGTGTCCAGAACAGTCTGCATGCGAATATCTAGGGGAGAGAAAAAAAAAAGAGAAAAAGAATGAAAAAATCAAGCATGTGAGTCGAATACGACATTATGCATACACACATATGTAAGTTCTCTCTCTCTCTCTCTGCTTCCAAAACATAGACAAATATTCATCCAGAATGAAACCTCATGTTTTTTTATATCATGCATTTCAAATTTCATATATATATGATTCGCTTCGCGATTTATTTTTAGTTATACAAGTCCCCACTCTTCTATACATAGTATATAACATTACGTAAAAATGATAATCATATTACTTCAATTTTTCAATAAGACAATGTCTAGGATTTCACTTGAGCATGACAAGAGTTTCTCTTAAATGTCACAGGCATTACATTTTTTTTCTAACCTAATGAAATAAGTTGAGAAAAAGATTTTAAAATAAAAATTTTGTTCTTTATTTTAAAAATAAAATTTTTTTAAAATTCTTTTTCTCTGCTACTTTTCTTTTATATACGAGAGAAAAATAAAAATTAAACAATTTAAAAATTACAGCTTCTAGATTTTCTCTTACTTTTCTCAGAAATGAACAATTTTAATACTTTTGGAGTCATTGTCTTTAATGAGAAGTATACCCAGAGTTGAATGAGAAAAAAAAAAGTTTTAGCAATTCTTTCTTGAATTAGGCGAGACTCACAATCAAATCTCGAGGACCATAATAACGAGGTCTTTTTTCTTTATACATAAAAAAAAAAAACTTGAAGAAGCCCTTTAAAGTTGAGCGTTGTCAAGAAACCATTCAAATTCCCGTAGTAAATAGTCGAAATTAAAATTCAAATCTTACATTTAAAATTATCCTATAAAATTTCGTAACATTTCTTTTTTAATAATAATTTATATATTAAATTTTTTATACTTTTAAAAACGTAACAAATAATTTATAAATTTATAAAGCAAATAAATTTTGCAAATACATCTAACAAAATGGAAAACGTATTTTTATAAAAAAAACTATTGAAAAAGCGAATGATATAACGATTATTCAGCAGAGAGAGAAATATAAGAAATATATAATAGAATATTGAACAAAAGGATTTCTTTTTCCGATGTCAAAGTACACGCAAGGAGAAATAAAATTTTACAGTGATTTTTTTTTAACGTCGATGGTCATGTGAATAAATAGCCTGTTAAAGTTTAGATTAACAACGTAAGAAACCGTGCTGTGCAAAAGGCGAACAAGGGGAACATGAGTTCATACTCCATCGATAATTGAACCGTTGCTTGGAACGTAAACAGACTTATTAAAAAGCTATACCTGCACAACAAAATCCAATTACTACTTCTTTTTATTTTTCTTTTTTGATATTTTGTCATTATATAAACATTTAAATATTATATTCGATAAATTTTTTTACTTTCAAAAAAAAAAAACAACAAAGAATCAGTTTTACTATCGCTTTTTGAAAATTCCTGTCACTTTTACTATGTTTTAACAACACTGCAATAAAGAATAAAGTACGTGCTATATGGCATATATTAAGGAATTAAGGTGTTAAAAAGATAAAATGAGAGAAAATAAACTTTTATGAATGTTGTTAAAGGAAAATACTACATTCTACTTGTTTTATTTCCCAAAAAAAGAAACAAAAAAATTCTCTTTTAATGACAGAGATAAATTTAGATTTTTGTGAATTAAGAACACCTTATCATTAATAGCAATCGAAATAAATAATTATTAATTAATTGTAATTCTTTTTTATATGAAATAAGTTGATTTTATAATTTTCAAAAAAAGAATTTTTCACTTCTTTTTTATTTAAAAAAAATTATTTTCAATTACTAATTATTATGTAATAAATGTATGTATTGTGTAAAAACTAATTATTATATAAACAATAAAAAACTGAATAAAAATGTTGCATAAATTTTTCAATTACCATTATTAAAATCAATGAAAGTAATAATTAATTTTTATTAAATTAATTAATTAAATTAAATAGTAATTAAACTTCTAGCTATTATTTTAAATAAATTCAAAATATGATTGCACTATTTTTTCAATTAAAAACTTTAATTAAAGAAAGAAATATTAAAAATCCGAATCACTAAAAATTTAGTCTCACGATTGAAACCAGTGAAAAAGTTAATAAAATTAATTTTTTTTATTCCTGCTTTTGAAAAGAAAAATTTTCCTGTTTGTAATCGTGACAAATTTGTGGCATTTTATACTGATTAAGATAAAAAAAAATTAATAATTTCAGTTAATAATAAATAATTAAAAATTCAATTCCCTAATATTTTATCTAATAAAACAACAAAAATTCAAATTCCTCAAAATTCAAATGCTATAAAAAATATTTATTATTTATAATAAAAACATAGGACTTTGAATTAATAATATTTTCTCTTTAATAATATATAGAAAATAAAATAATTTCTTGAATAATTCCGCTTCTAAATTAATTATACCTTCTCATTAAACTTTAAATGAAATTTTAATTAAATGTAAACTATAAATTAATATATGAAAAACATTTGGTATTAATTATAATTATTAAATTAAGAGAGAAAAAAAATTCACCTGCTGGGACATGCATTAATTTTGTAGGTGATATTAAAGCCGCTCATATTGTATGCGACGTCTGAGTAGAAATGAAGAAGAGCATTTCCGGAGCGAGCGATCACTTCCGGTACTCTCCGGATGTGGTAGCCATCCTTGTGCATCAATCCAGTAAAGACACCAAGCAATGGTGCCTCTACACTGTCGCCGTCGAAAATGTATAAATGGTCCCAACCACATTCCGTTGCAAATTCCTCAATATGCATTCGTATCGTGGAATTTGGATTACTCTCAATCAACCACGAGCACTTCACATCCGTCGTATAATTACCAATTCCGTCTTGAATACTTCCAGAAGGCTCCGTCAATCTGCAATCACGAAAATTTAATTAAAATTTTGATTCACGCACAAAAGCCGCATATGAAAAATTTTTTCTTTGATTTATAGAATGATAAAATTTTTATTTAAAAAGATTTTAAAAAATTTATAACAAAAATGCAGTTAATTTTTACATTAAATACTTTTTATATTAAATACTTTTTATTTAACATTAATTTCTATTTAAATGAATTTCAAATTCAAAAAATGAAAAATAAATAAAAACTTAATGAAAAAAAAAATATTTTTTACTTTTAAAATTTTGGAAAATAAAAAAAAAGTATATTGAAATATATAGCCGAGAATAAAAAATTTTCAGATTATTAATGCAATTAATAAAGAACAAGACCCTCAGACTTCCGAATGGGGCAAATTATGACGTTCATTTGAACTCAATGAATTTTCTGGGAGAAAGTCTCTCGCACTTACGCGCCCAGAGTATTGCCAACAGGATGGCATACTTATCATTTGACATTTACGCCCAGTGCTTTTATATAGCTCTAGAAGAAAAGTACCTATTCACTAACATAATAAGTAAGCTGATTTTATGCTTAAATCTTGGTACATAAAAGCCTTCCATTGATAAATAATAATATTCCAAAATAAAAAAATTCTTTTCGCACTTTAAATCCATTTCATTTTCTTGGACCATTTAAAATATTATAAATTATTTTTTTTAATTTATACAAATATTTATTAACAAATTTTGAATAATTAAAAAAAATAATGTAAAATATTTTTAATATTTTCAATCGAAGAGACAAAATTTTGCTCAAGAGATGGTCAAATTGATCGAATAATATAAAAAAAAAAAAAAAATTAATAAACTTGCAGACAAATTTCATCCACTTTCTGCTATTGGTTTATAAATAGTTTAATATATTATATTCAATTTCCAATATATGTCAAATCGATGAGAAAAAAAAAGTCGAATAAAAACTACGTAAAAATATTTCACATATATAATGTTTATAAAATTTTAATCCACGGACAATATTTGAAATTTAACAGCTTTTTCTGAATTTTATCACTATTCAATTGAATATTGAAGAAGGCTAAATTTATATTTCTGAATATTGTAAATGGAATTGGGTCGTAATAATTTGATCGATATATAAAAAAGAATATTCATGCTTCACTTTTATATTCTTTTATTCATTCGACTTTAAATAATTAGTGTGAAAAAAAATTTTCGCTTAAAATTTAACAATTTCAATATTCTCATCCAATTTGAAATATGAATTTTTTTTATTAAAAAAAAAAAAAAAAATTTTTTTGATACAGACGAATCTTCGTGAAAAATTAAAAAAAAAAAAAAAAATCCTTGAAAAAATGATAAAAACTTTTATCTCTTATCACCTGATAATATTAATGGTTTTCAATGAATACAAACTTCTACGCACCCATAAAACTTCACTTTCTAAAAGACATATTCGAATAATTACGAAGAGATCTTAAAACAAGTTAACATATGAAATATGCAATACACGCATGTAGATAATCTACTCATGCTTTATGTATTAAGTGTTCATGAGGGAAGCACAGGAAGTAAAGGAACATTTCTCATGAAATATTAAGTCCCAACACTAAATTTTATAAAAGGAGATATCTTTTTCATTTTTCAAAATAATTAAATTCTAAAAATACTAAAAACAGTATAAAAATTAAAACATAAACGTTTCTATATATAACCCCCTCAATTATAACAATAATTACACAAAATTAAGAATATTACAAAAAAATTATAAATCAAATTTAATGATTAATTTTTTTTTTCTTTTTGGTGTAAAATATTTATCATGCAATTTAAAAATATAATTATTTTTAAGTAACACGCACTTTAGGAAACTGAATTTAATCCTTGAATCTAATTTAAAAAAAGAGAGGAGTTATATTTTATATAACATATTATATATGTTGCTCCGGATTCGCCAACACTTTTAAATCACTAAATATGTGGATATAAAAATCGAACATAGTTAATCTTCACGTCACGCTCGTTTTATTGGATCAAAAGCTTTAAAAAGATATTAACGTCTAAGTTGACATTTTCGAAAATAAAAATCCCTTTCCAAGTATTATTTTTTTTTTTTTATTTTGACAAATGAAATTTTGTTTAAATATAAAAATTACCCTTAATGAAAATTCGATTAAATAAAAATTACACGATCTGTAAATTCAGTTAAGTAAATTATAAAATAAAAAATATAAATAAAAAAATTAAATATAAAAAAAAAATAAAAATTTTACAAAATGAAATTTTATTTAAATATAAAATTTATACGTTCGAATGAAAATTCGGTTTAATAAAACTTCTCTTAAATAAAAATCCTAGACAATAGATATAATATTTTTATTCAATCAATATTATCCTTTCCATCGGTTAAGTAAAATTGTAAAAGAAAAAAAAAGTCTCTCTCTATATAGAAGTTAAGAAATTGCTTTTTTGAAGTTAACTTTTTTACATATTATTATACTTAATATAAAACAATATAGAAAAATAAAATCATAATTTGTTCAGGACTTATTACTTCAGTAAGTTTAGAACTTCATCAAACACGATAGTAATGACCTAGATAATTTTGTATGAACAAGGGAAACCGGTTAATGACAGTGCTTCATCTGTAATAACGGTAAATGATATTCACATGTTATACAGTGGCAAAAGTCTCAACTATACCATTTCGCGTTAATGGAAGACTTCCCATATTACCTGTGCGCTCTGTAATTTCGCTAAGTGAAAAATAAAAGAATACACAATGCATAATGTAATATTTCGTCAAACAAAATAATATTCACACATCATTTGTAAAATAATCTTATAAAGTGCTGTAAAACGAAAAAAAATCAAATTTTACATACATTATAATTATAATAATTATCATTTTTATTATTATTATTGAAAAAATTTATTATACTTGATCCTTATATTGTCTAATTATTATATTTTTATTTTCTCCTTTTTTTTTTTTGAAAAAAAAAATTATTTTGTTGGTCTGACAATAAAAGTAGTTTTCAGAACAATGGTGGCAGTTCATTTTTATGGTTTCAAGTTCACCCGTTATACGCTAACTCTAGCGAACTTCCTACCTTTAGAAAGTATATCAACTGTGATACATTATATTTCTGAGATATATTGCAAGCTATTGTCTACTTTAATGCTCATTTGTATATATATATATATAATCTTGTAATCTTAAATTAAATCATTTATAAAAGAAAATGTTTATAATTTAACAAAATTTACTTCTAATTAAAATTTAAATATTTGACAAATTTGTTCATTGATAAAAGATTAATAATCAGAAACGTGCGTTTTTGTTTTTTGTTATAACAAAAGAAAATATTAAACTTATGCCTCGAAGGTCTCGCACAGTATATAACTCTCTGTTGAAATACTAATTATTTGCGTAATCAGTGCAAACGCGTGTTACTTTCAACAATAATTAATGTCAGGTTAATAGAGACAGTATTTTTTAAAAAAATAAAATAATTTACTATTAATAATTAATAAAATAGAAAGAATTCATTTTATAGCAATTTAACAAAAAAAAAAATAAATAAATAAAAAAATATGTGAGTAATTTTAACAATTTATCATTAAACTTATTGAAATTTTGATATTTGATTCACATGATGGAAAACATTACAATTCTCGACATTTCAAACGGTGTGAAATATATAAGAAATACCAAATGATGATTCATTCGAGAAATGTATGATTAATAAACCGCAAAAGAAAGAGAAATTCTCAATGTGATTCACGAAACTTGTTCAACTTTTAATGATTTAATTATCGTAAATTCTGCAACAAAATAATATAATTAATATAGAATTCTCTCTAGTTATAATAATTATCACCGAATAAAATAATGAGGGAATAAATTTATATACAAAATATATCATAATAATTCGAAAACAATTATTATTAATTAATAATTAATTAATAATAATAATAATAATAATCAGAATAAATAATAATATATGTAATAAAAATATTTTACTCTTTTTAATATAATAAAAAGTTTTAATAAACCGAAAAAATAATTTTATATTTTTTTTTCAAATTTCCTCCTGACAATTTTGATGTTTATATTAAATTATTTTGGAAAATTAATTTTTTTTTAACAATAAATATCCCGCCCTCTTTTGGAAACATGTGGATATGTGTGTGTGTGTTTTTTTTTATAATCTCGTAAATTTCTTTCACTGCACGGGAACCATGAGCTTTTGTCATTTTGTCCGACACACAATCCATTTTCGCACAGACGGGTCGACAAAAATATAGGAGACCATAAAATAAACAAGATTGTGGAAAACTCATACCATAAAAAGTACATTCGACAAATAGAGCGAAATATTGCCCGCGAGTTTAATAAAAAGCATTTAAATTGAAAATTTGGAATTTTTTTTTTTTTTAATAAAATATAGATAAACCGGCTAATATAGACCTTTTTTTTTAAAAAAAAATATAATCAATTTGTTAAAATTACTTCGCAATGTAAATATATAAATCCCATTTATATAGTTTCTGATTCTTAAAGACGTGCGGCCACTTGACTCTCAGCGAATAAAATTCTTCGCGAATTTATCGTGATTCATCTCAAGAATAGAACTATATAGTATACGCGTGCAATAAACTTTTCTCTTAAATCATAATCAGGTTTTCGTTGCCTTCTCTTTCTATTATTTTTTTTTTTTATTATTGATTTATTGACTTGAAATGGAAAAAAAAATTTACAAACGAAAATGATTATGATAAATTATATTAAAATATATAAAAAAATAAAATTATAAGCCCCATTATGAATTATAGATAAATCAAAATAAAACTAAAAAATTAATTAAAAAAAAAATTAATCAAGAAGAAAGAAAAAAGAAAGAAATAAAGAAAAAATTTTTGTTTAAAATACAAATTTATTGAGCGCAATAATTAATTCTATATTGTATAGTAAATAATTTTCTATTTTCAAATTTAATTTCCGTTAAATTGGCAGTTCGAGTTAATTGGCCAGACTTGTTAGCACTTGCTAGTTTGTGAAAGTAATCGACTTTGATTCAATAACAGACCTATCCACTAATCAGGGTTCATCGTCTACTCGACTTTAATATATATATATATATATAAAGCTTTATATGGTGTCAATAAGACATATATATATATGTCGATGAGAATAAAAAATTTCAAACAAAAAAAAAAAAATATCTAAAAAATTGTACACAAAATATTTTTGAAAATTTCATTAAATATTAAGTAAATAATTAAAGATGCTGCTAGGTTTACGAAGGAGCAATCGCATCGTTTATTCAATGCTTGTCTCACTAGGCGTCGAGAATACATTTATTAACTTGCCGAGGATACGATGTTCGTCGTACAACGACCTAAAAATCGCTGAACTTGACACAAGACACGGGATACATTCTAAATCGATCATTAAAGCAAGACATCATTTGTGCGCGCGAGAGAGGTCATTCTTTCACGTTAAAAAATTGCTCAAGATGTTTTATAACATCTTCTTTTTTTTTTTTTTTTAAATTCACATTACTCAAAAAGTATCGAAACAATTTTTTTTTATTCATCACTTTTCAGTTATAGAAAGATTGCAAAACTTATATTTTTATAAAAACAACTATTTCATCTTGAAATATTGCACAGGAAAATCATAAAAACTATAAAATATAAACACGAGAAGAAAGTGCGAGTTTCCTTTTTCGAACATTATAAACAATAAATGTATGTTTGACATGAAAATAATTATTTTCAATGCAATTGAAAGAGCAATAAATCTGATTTATAACAACTTCTTTTGATGAGAATTTATGAACAATAAAAAAATTCTAACAAAAATAATATTTTTTTTTTTTTTTTTGGGATAAAACCGAGAGAAGAAAGTCGGAAAACATGTGTATGTGTGGAATAAAGAAACATCCATAAATCTATTTCTCAATGAATCTGTCAAACGGGGAATGCCTTTTGATTTCAATATAAAATTATTCGAAATAAAAACGAATAATTTATAACATTATTTAAAAAAAAAAAAAATTACGATCAATATTATTAATCAAAACAAAAATTGCTTTTTTTATTTTAAAAACAAATAAACAAAAAAATATAATATAATTTTGGAAAAATCATGTTTTAACAAGTTTTGTTTATCTGCAGTAAAACAAAAATAATCAATCGTGATGTTTGATCATTAATTTAGCATAATAATTTACCGCATATACTGTAAAATGAAAAACGAAATTAAAAATCCTCACCTGTAAATTATAATCGTAATTTTCCATTTACTATAAATAGTATAGGCCCAAAGTAACGAATAACCTGATTAGTTTTATTTTTTTAATTTTTAGTCTAATTTTGTAATGTCAAAGACACTCCACTCTATAATCTCGAGGAGTAGAAATTTGAATCAATATATTTCGAATCAAGTATTCTATACTAGAATCCTCGAATAATGAGGTTATGGTAACCATACATTTTTTTGTTTGTTTGTTAGAGTAACTCTTTAGCTAACAGGATTTTCGTTCCATTTTGTGGATCAAGTGGAGGTCAGCACTGGAGCCGATCTTTCCTTTACTGATTGTCGACTTGGACCATTCGGAGCAACTTTCCAAATTCGATCTTTCTTGCAAGAAAGGTGGTTTTTTTTTTCTCACCGCTTACGGAAAAAAAATTGGGACTAAAACTTTTTGGGGGTGAGTAAAAAAAAAATGGTTTTGTTTTGAAAAGAATTGAAGTTTTCTAAGTGTTTCTTTTTGTTATTGCGGGTTTATTATTATTATTATTATCATACCTGACTTTGCCACCGCAATATTGACAGGCCGGTCCTTGCCATCCCTCATGGCAAATGCAACTGCCATTGACACAGGCCCCGTTGACACAACTGTCGAGGTCACAGGGCGAATCTGAAGTCGTTGAGGTTGCATTTACAGCACTATGTAACAACGACGCCCAAATTATCACTAGCCATAAAAATGCGCAGGGTAAAACATTGTTCCACTTGTGCACGCGTAATAAACTTTTCCGACGGTATTTCGATTTAAATAGGAACAAAAACATCTGCATGACTTCTGCCATTTTGATAGGTTTCCATGTCAGAAGACAATGGCCGATAGCGACGAAAGACGACTCTCTCAGCACCTCGTCGTCGAGAGTGCGGCCAACGGGCCAAAATTGACTGAGACTGACTGAAACAATGAGATCTCACAAGCGACTTCTTGCTTTTCCGACTAAGTAGTTGGTATAATCGCCGACAGGTGGCGCCACGAAACAAAGTAGACATTTTCATTTTTTGATTTATATTTTTCAAAATATAAAACTTATAGAAATTAGTTTAAAAAATATTTAACTTTTAAATATGATATTTAGCGTTTTTTTGATGTTAAGTTAATGTCTTTGGTTTTTAAAATTATAATTATTTTATCTGACTTAGTTTATTTTCAAAAAACAAGAAAAAATTATAATTTTCATTGCTGAATTTAAAGGTAAGTAGTAAAACTGATAATAAAACTAGTTATTAGGCATAAAAATTAATTTATAGACTCAAACTAGAACAAAATCAATTATTGTTCCTGGAATATTTTTTTATAATCTCAACTTAAAATCGAATTTGTATTTTTAATAAAAAATGTATTATTTTCAAAAAATTGTCTAACTCAATTCAAATTAATTTTAAAAAAGAAAACTAGTTTTAAAATTTATGTCATAAAAAATAGAAATTTGAAGATAGTTATTACTATATACTATATTTGACTTATAATTCCCATAATTAATTTTGGTATGTGATGGGAGTTTTTATTTTACCGCGTGTGTGACGATATACCGTTTTACTCCCAGAGATTCATTGACGTCATTAACCATTTTCCCACTCTTTTACTCCCGATTCTCAACTATAGTTAACCACGTTATCGTTTCAAACTTGAAACAGAAATGTCTGCATTGTCAGTTCTGTTGTCAGAGTTAAGCCGTGATACAGTGCATCTTATTTACGAAGAGTATTTTTCAAGTGATAATTTTTTAATTACTTTCCATTATCATTCGTACAATTTGTGTTGTTTCAATCTTTTTATTTAAATTTTCAAAATTTAATTCACAATTTCTCTTTAAATTCATTTGAAAAATTATAGGCTCATAATTTTGAATGAAAACATATTGTTTGAAAAATAATTTTTTGAATATTAACTATAAATAATAAATAAATAATAAAAAGATAATTAATAAATGAATATTACAATTTAAATTAATAGAGAGAGTTTGCACACTTAGGGAAAAATATGGCAAAAGTAGTTAAACTTGTTATAATTGTTTTATGTAATAATTATTCATTTTTAAAAATTATTACTTTCAATACTAAGAATAAATAATTTAATTTCAATTTAAATACTTCTATTTTGTTAATAAAATTTTCTGAAAATTGAAATAAAATTTCATTTCCTTAAAGATAATAATTAACATTCATATTGAGATTAAATTGACAATTTTTTAAGTAATTAATGTTTTAAAAAAAGCGCTTAAGATTTAATCTCTAATGAGCTATTAATATCATCTTTAAATACCAATCTGCAAATGAGAATGATTATTTTTTCTTTTAATTTAAAGTTAAAAATCTGATATCCCGCATTGTTTATCGATATGTCAATGTTTGTAAATATAGAATTTAATCTAATTTGCTAATCCAATATAATGCGGGTTAATTTAAATTCACCCTCAATTAATTTAGAAAAAAATAGTAACTTAATTTCTTTTTCTATAGGTGCTCAAAATGTCAGGCAAAGTCAAAAAAACGGGAAAGGAAATGAAGACACAAGTCGATGAGAATCAATTAAGGAAAGAATTAAGAAATCAGAAAAAAGTCAATAATAAAATTGACAATGACAAAAATGATCAATCCTCAATCGATAATGTTGATCTCTCATTAAAACCAACAAAAGAAATTCATTTAGGAGGAATTGAGGGGTAAAATATTGATATATATTTTAAATAATTAATTTTTTGTAAAATGCAATAAAAATAAATATGCATTTTCATTTTTGAGATTTTAATTTTGAAATTCAGTGGAGCCACTCATTCGACATTAATCGTAATTGATGGTGAGGGCAATAAATTGACGGAAATTAAGGGACCTGGTACAAATCACTGGGTAAGTTTATGAAATAATGCATATAGCCTAACGTTTTAATTTATATATTAATCTCGTCTCTTATTGATTTAGCCTCGAGGCGTTTTTTTCAAGATCAATACATTAATCAAACATTATAATTTATGATAATAATATTTTAAGTTATATAAGTTAATTATTCAAAAAAAAATTATGATTTTCGGTTCTTAGTATAGTATTAAAATTATTAATTATTTTAATATCTTATTAGATAATTAAAACAAATAAATAATTTCAATTAATTTAAAAAATTAAGAATTTGATAAATTTCATATATATTTTTAGAACTTACCTCTTGTAAGGTAGAAATCATTTTCAAAGATTGACAGGAACTCGGTCATTAAATTTAAATCGCCGCTTGCATAAAGGGTCCTCGAATAGAGAAGACGACGATTCAATCAGAATCTCGTAGCATTAATAAATTCCCTTTTCAATTTTTCTATTAGGCGCTTGGCATGCAAGAAACAGCTGCAAGAATCAGTGGTATGATTGATAAAGCCAAGGAAGAACTTCATTTGCCAGAAACAGTTGTCTTCGATTGTGTGGTAATAATTTCCTAAAAAAAAAAAATAACCCCCCCAAAAAAAGATTTATTTTTACGAATTTAAAAAAAAATATGAATTTTTTTTAAATATATAGGGTTTAACTTTAAGTGGTTGCGAGGAAGAAGAAACAAATAATGCGGTAAGTGAAACACTATTAAAAGAATTTCCAAATGCATCAAGAGCTTATTTTGTCGGTTCTGATACCTTGGGAAGTATAAAAACTGGCTTATCTGATGGTGGAGTGGTGTTGATAGCCGGGACAGGAAGCAATGCACTTTTAATTAACCCAGACGGTTCAACTCACGGTTGCGGTGGATGGGGTCACATGATGGGGGATGAGGGTGGAGGTGATTATATTTTCGTTCCACATTACTTGAAGGTTCTCGAGAGAAAATTAGTTCAAGATCATTGCATTTTTAGAGCTCAATTGATAAAAATTGATTCTTGTAAACCTTTTTTTTTTTTTAATTTCTCTTTTTCGATCGTCAATTATTAAAATTAAATTTTAAAAAATTGATTTCCTTCAAAATTATTAATTCTAATTTAAAATTTTAAATAAAATTGAAAATTTCTGAATTTTACTAATTTTTGGTTTTTAATAGTAAAATTTTATAAAATTTAAGTAAATAACGAAAGAAAAGAATAAAAATTTGAATATTTACAGCGTTTTGGATGGCGCATAGAGCTTGCAAATATGTATTCGACGATATCGATGGATTGGTGAAAGCTCCATATTCCATTGATTATATTTGGTCGGCGATGAAACATTTTTTCCACGTCACAGAAAGACATCAAATGCTAAGGCATTTGTATGGTGAATTTCAAAAAAGTCAATTCGCCTTGTTTACGAAGGAAATTGTCACTGGCTGCGAAAAAGATGATAGTCTTTCGTTGTTGATTTTCGAAGACACTGGTAAAATTTTAGCCAAACATATCGAAGCTGTTTACAAAAAAGCACACAATGTGAGTTATTCATTTTTGTTATGAAAATTTATTATCTTTAATTAATTTAAAAACTTACGGAATTTTTGTTGTTGTTGTTAACAGGATCTGAAATTAGCTGAAGGTGGCTTGAAAATAGTGTGCGTGGGATCGGTGTGGAAATCATGGAAATTCATGAAAAAAGGCTTTATCGAACAAATTCATAAAGGACAAATCATCGATGAATTGACTCTTCTTTTATTAACAACTTCATCAGCTTGGGGCGCCTGTTATCTTGCAGCGGAAAAAATCAACTGTTCGTCCGTGAAAAAAATATATGAAAACAATGCAGACGTTATCTATCATTATAAACGTAATAATTGCGGATATCCTTAAATATTATAAATCATTCAATAATTTCAAATGTGTAAAAATTATTTTAATTTAAAACTTTTTTTTTTTAAATTAAAAATCTCAATTTTTATAGAAAAAAAAATTTGATAAATTTTTTAGTATGTAAAATAATATACTTTTTTTTATAAATATTTATAAAACTAAAAAAAGGTGTAATTTTAAAAATGTGTTTCAATAAAAGCAATAAACACAAAGAATGTGAAAATATCAAAATGAATAATTTTATGCTATAAATAATTTAGATTTAAAAAGGCATTGAAAATATATTTTGAAAAAAATATATTTCATAATACGATATCACAACTTTTGATTACAGTGGGTAATCATTATAATACAATTTTTAAATTTTTTGTTTCTTTCACTCATTCTCTCATTCACCAAGGAAACAATGCAAATATAATTCGCTGTTATACTGATTTTCATGGTGATAAAAAAAATGGTTTTCTTAAATATTTTTTTTTGCAATAGTGAAATGTGAAAACTTAATTATAAGGTATACTATAAACAAGAATATTTGAAAATTTCATTTTTAACATAGTGACAAAGCTTTTATCTTTAACATTTATACTAAATAGTTAAACAAATATTTATAAAGAAATTTTATAAATTTTTTTTTTTTTGGTTTCTATCAAAACGAAATTTGTTTCGATAAAATTCCGTTCTCTTTTCCTATAAAAATTTAATAACAAAAACAAAAATTTAAATAAATATTTTTATATAAGTTAAAAATAATTCTCTTTTTGTCAACAATAAAGCGATAGAAAATTCAATTATTAATTTATGCTATAAAATTGTTGTTTGACTTACTTTTATATAAGGAACGATTCAACTAGGATCTGAAGGTGCAACTCTTGATGGCTACAATTATTGTTTCAAATCAAATATTTCAATTAATAGGGGTTCTACACTGGACGGGTTCACATTCAAGTACACACCCACAACTTCGTCATTCAATCTGTGCAATTCGGAAATTTTTTGTATTAATTTTAAAAATGTCGATTTTGCCACACATCCTGGATACATACTTTCCAAATATCGTCTCAAAAGATAATAATACGAGTTCTGAAACAAATAAGAATGTTCATTAATTTAAAAAAAAAAACATTTTTCTAAAAATTTATTATTGAAAAAAAATATCTCACTTGTTCCAATTTGACGACATCGGAATGAACGACTTTTGGTCTTTCGGGCGTGAAAAGAGCAATGGCACTGAGAATTAAAATGACATTCTCGTCCTTCCATTGAGGATCGAAGGTGTGAAAAAATTTGGTATGTTCGGCAAATAAATTTCCCTTTGCCTCCTTCAGAACATCGACTTTAATGTTTGACATTCTCTCCTGTGTGTGAGGAATTTTCCACACATGCTTATCGGAATCGTAATTAATGGCCGATCTTAAAATCATCATTTCGGTACAGCCACCCTTTAATAATGCCAATTGATCTTCCTCGCACATATTTTTGAATGCACTTATTTTTTTCGACATTTTTATTAAACGTCTTATTGCCACTGCTGTCAAATTTATCACATCAAGCAATGCCGGATCAAATTGACTTCCAATTCCCTGATAAAAAAATTAAAAAATTGAAATTTCAATTTAAGTTCAATTTTTATTAATTAATATATTTTTTATTTAAATTGTTCTAATTTGATAAAATTTCTAAATGAGGAAATTAATTACTTGAAACAAATATTCATCGCCAATGTAAGTTGAAATATCATCGTCCAAAGGGGCGTGAAGAGCTTTACTGGCAACAATTAATTCGTTTAGTTTCGCTCTTTCAGAATCGTTTAATTCACGACTATTGAGATTTGCGCCGAGTGAAGAAAATGCGGAAAATTCCAAATTTATTGCTTTGCAGAGAATAGATTCCATTGAATTTGGTGTTATTGGCAATCTATATAAAAAAAAAATTTTTTATTTTTTTTTAAATTTTACAATTTCAAAAAATAATACTTTAACTCTTTGAAATAATAACAAAAATAATTATTACCTTTGAACTTCTTGTAAAACATCTTTGGTAACATCATCCGACATTTTATTACAATCATTTGAATTTGATTCATCAATATGAATTTTCTCCTCATCTGGACTATTATTTGTAATTAAATTCGTCAAAATTGGATTTTCAATTTGTGTATTTTGCGATGATTCCATATTATTATCAGAATAATTATGAATTTCCAAATCGTCTCTTATTTCATCTTCCTCCAATGTCCCCTTATTCTCATCTTCTGAATTAATAACATTCTCCTGAAGTAATTGCGAAACTATTGGATTTTCAGTAAGTTTCGATAATGTCTCTGTATCGGTGATAATTTTCATTAAAACCTCTTGATTCATAAATATTTTTGTTAATAAATGTTGATTGTTAACAATTTTTGAAATTAATTCTGGATCTTGTGATATTTTAATTGCAATTGTTGAATTTTTCATTTGACCAATTTTTGTGCCATTATCGCTTGAACATGAAATTGGAGTACAATTTGAACATGTTTCTTTAATTGATGAATTATCAATATTTTTACGTTCCAAATTTATTCGAGTATTTTCATTTTTTGTCGTTGCTTGCTCAACTATTGATGATTTTTTATCAATAATATGTGTTGGTGTAATTATCTTGATGGATTGATTATTATTGTTATTATTTGTAACACGAGGACTAAGTTCATGATAACTTGGTGGTGAATTATATGAATCTTTTAACATGTCAAGTGTTTTTGAACCAGCGATATTATCTAAATTTTCAGGTGGACTTAATGGACTGGGAACACTTGCTGCGGGAACGGGACTCATACTATCAATAACTGATTGTCGATTTGCATCGAGATCCGTATATTTTCTGTCAGATTCCCAAAAATATGTTTCCGCAACTGTTGATGCTGTTGAAATAACTGATGCTATTGATGCAGATGTATCATTATCGAAATTTAATTCATCGACAGATTCTTTTTTCATTTTTGTCAATTTCAAACCGTCGCGATTTGGCCGTTTTTTTGCACGATTTTGCTCGATTTTTTGACGTTTCAAAACTTTATCCTCCTCTGACATTATGTATTCTTTTCGCATTCCAATGTTGAAACATTTGTCGAGTCTACATTTTTGACAAAAACGACGTGTTACGGGAGAAATATTACAATTTTCCGTAAATGGACAACGAAAGTCCTGAAAATATTAAATTATAATTAATGACTATAATTATTAATTTCTTTTCTATAATTTAATTTTTAATTTATTAATAATAATTTATAAAATACGAACCTTCTTTCGAAGAGCGTTTCGTCTAAAAAAGGCCTTACAACTTTCGCAGGAGACTGCATTAAAATTGTAACCGAGAGCTCGATCACCACAAACCCCACAAATCTTATTAGCCTCTCTGACAGGATGTTCCTCATCCATTTCTTCTCGATGTGGTTTCATGTTAATTGGCAGTGTGTTAAAGCTAGCAAAACATCACTCTCATTATATTCAATTCTTATTTGTCACTGGTAACAATTATTGTCAATGATTCAGATGACAAGGAGGATCACTCATCTAAAATTTTGTTCGTTATAAATGTCTTGAATCACCAAGTATCGAAACGATTTCTTCATTTTTAGGTCGCTATGATAACTACAATAAAGAGTTTAAATTAGTAGTCACTTATCAACACTTATTCACTTAACAGTCACGAACCTGGACCCTGATAACACATAAGATATATCTCGGACATCAAAACTGACGTAAATTCCTGCAGATATTAATATACGAAGAAAAAAAAAAAGGTTTAACAATATTTATTACACTTTACCATTGAGTCCTCCATATTGAAATATTATTTGTTTTCATTTAAAGTAATTAATGATACAAATGTGTTTATTAAATCAATCACTATTCTTTATTATTCACTTTGACGTTTGTCTTTTTGCTCTTTTAGGTTATGATTTCTATCAAAGATGGCGGCTTAGATTGGAAATACAGTTGGCACTATTGGTAATAATTTAAAAAACAAAATTATAATGAAAATTAAAATTTTAGGCATATATTTTGGGAAAAAAAAGACAAAGATTGACAAGTTTATTATAATTAATATGATAGAAAGTTGTTTAATTTGCACACATAAAAGAAATCGGATTTTATATTCAAATTCCGCGCTAGTGTTGGCAACAATTGCATAAATTGTTGCACATCGTGAAGTGTGACATTATGTTTTTTAATTTTAAAAAATTGTTATTTTTCCTTACAAAATTAAGTAACAAACATAATTAAATAAATTTATACAAGATAACAAAGAGAAAATTTTTAAATTAAAGGTGCAATTATAAACAATATAAATACATCAACAAAGAAAAATGACAATTATGCACAAAAAAAAATTCATTTTTTATTGTGTTTGTCAACTAACTTCACGAACATATGTAATAAGTTACCTAACCTCTATCAGGGACGCGTCATAAAAAGGTGGAGTGAATTTGATTATTTTATTTTTTTTTTATATTTCTTTAATTTGACGATTAGATGATGATCTCTTTGTTTGTTATTTTTATTTAATTAAACATAGATTTTCATTTATTTTGCTGAACTTCAATTTTTAATGTGGTGTTATTCTTTGCAAGCAGTTGAAACAAAGTAACCTTAACGCCCTTTGATGTTTTTCGATATTTTTTGCAAATATATATTTTTATAAATTATTTTTTCTATTTTATAAATTTTTTTTTTATCCAGTGAAATTGATAAAAATGTGTACAACCTGTGTTTTATAAAACCTTAGTGAAAAATACAGGAGTAATGAAGGAAAAAAGGAAAACGTACTTTGCTGCAACAATGTTATAATAAAAAAGAATATAAAGAATTACATTGTTTATATATATTTAATGTTTATTTAATACTACCAGTACAAATTTGAAAACTGTCACAAAGTTGGCTAAGAATATGGGTAAGCAATTTTAATATTTTTTTGAATAATAGAATTTTTTAAAGATTGAATTAAGAATGAGAAAAACTTATTTACAAGCTTTTGTTATCCTTTTGCTATTGTTACATTATTTTTGAAAATTATATCATGATTTTAAAATTGTAATTAAGTATTTAGAATTTTGATCGTTTTACAAAGAAGTTTTAGAAAAAATATATGTATTTGTTTATTTTATGTAATTTAATTGGGTAAAATGATTTTTTTTATTTATTCTTATTAATATAGTGATGGCAGGAACCGAGGGCATGTCAGGGCCATCGACAGACGAGTCATTTTCAAGTAAATTGCAATGGCTTCGTCAACGTCGAGAGGCTCTTCAAGACAAGCTCGCTCAAAAGAATAATGAGTTGAAAACCCTATGCATTGAGGAAGCAGAATTGACAGGTGTTCTGCCACCGGAAATTCCCCTTGAGCCAGGAGAAAGCCCTCCAACATTCCGCAAACGTGTTGGAACATCGTACACTTATCCTCAGAATATGATTAATAAACTAAAAACAAATGAAGCCGTGAGTAAAAATAATAATTCGTTACATATTTTTTTTATTTATTAGATTTTTTCTGTTTATTTATGATTTGACTCTTATTTTCAGGAGGAATCCGATTTGGAATTGGATCGTCAAGTACAAATTGGAAAACAAGAAGCTGCATTGGCGATAATAAATGATACGACAGAAAATAAAGCTGTACGAAGAAAACATCGATTGATTTATCAACAAAGTAAACAGAGACTTCAAGAAATTGATGCTTGTCTCAATTTTATCAGACAAAGTCATGGTTCTTCAACGCGTCATAATCAGGGTATTCATCAGCCTTTTCAAAATTTACAATCACTTTCTCATAATTCTAAACATCGGACAAAGAAACCTCGACCTCCTCTCGACAATTTAGGTATGATTTTTCTTTTTTAAAATAAGTAATTTTTTTTTAAACCTAACTTATAATTTTAATTCTAAAGGACGGGAAAAAAAACACGAGACAAGAGGAAGTTTACAAGATCAAGGTGGAATAAGTCTAAGTCCCTTGGGTCCAGAACACAATTACAATGTTTATTCACGTGAATTTCAAGATTTAGATGCAGGTCATCAATTTATGCAAGCCGGATCGAGTAATTCAAATCAAAATCGTAGTAATTATATTGCTGGTAGTCCCGTGGACGTGAGACGAAGTAACAGTACTAAATTCCTCGATCACGATGTAAATGTGAATAATAATTTGTATATACTACCTGATCAATATCGTAATCGTACTTATTCGCAAGGGGCACAAAGTACCAGTCCATTGAGACAGAATTTTTATCAAGATGTTGAGCAAAGATCGTATCGTCCCGTTCCAAATACATTTACCGAGGAAGAACGACAATATCGACAAATGCAAATGCAAAAACTCGAAATGCACAGTCCATCATCGTATTCGGAGAAATCAATATTAAGACATTTAGACAATAATGACACACAACGACGTATGTATCAAACTCAATATTACGAGAGTGAATATTCACCTACATCAAGATATGAGCAATCAATAGACTATCAATCGTATGGAAAGGCAACTTTACGTCATCGTCATCGTGAAAGAGATCACATTAGTGGTATTGAAAGAAAACATCATTCGGCTTTACAACCAAATATTGATTCCTATCTTCAACCTGGCCATTGGATGAGACTCGATGATGACATTGTTTTTTGTCCCGATGAACAAAATGCCGATCGTTTTGGTAGTCTCGATCGAAGAAAGCAGACAAATTCTCACTATTATCCAAATCCAGAAATACAATCACGCTATAATACTGTTGCGTCGGGATCGAAGAATATTCAAATTCTACCGCGTCAACATTCATCACAGGTAAAATAATTTTCTTTTTATCTTTTTCTATTTTCCAATTTCTATAATCAATTCTATTTGTATGTAAATGAAAATTTCAATTTCATCGAAACGAATAATAACTAAACGCATAATTAAAAAATAAATTAATGATTTAGATTCCAATCAATTCATCGGAACATACGCCATCGAGTAGAATTTTACTTCGCACACAATCGTTAGGCAGCGTGGAAACATGGCATGCAGGTCACGAATTAAATGAGAGAGATCAAACTGATAATATTAGTCGAAAGGGAAAAGAAAAAGAATGGTACGAAACATCACTTGATTCACGTTGTAGTCCAAATACAATTCCAATTTCCGCATCATCATTATCGGTAGGATCATTTGTACCAAATCTCGTTCGTCGACCATCACAAAATAATCATCATCATCCTCCACCACCACCTCCTCCGCCACCATTACCACCGCCACAACAACAACAACAGCAACAATCAACAATATCTTCCGATATTCGCGAGATTGAACCACGTCGACCTAGAGAATTGCCACACGATGAACAATCACAATGCTTTCCAGTTGCACAAAATCATCATTATCATTATCACGAGCGACCAAAAGTCCTCGAAATACCCGCAGAATCAAAACCATCATCTTTAATTGAAAATGGAAATGATCCAATGTTAGCATTTAATTCCCCAACGAATCACACAATTGTTCAACAGGGTAAATATCAGCCATATCGTGAAGTTACCAAACCATTTGAAATGTCTGATTTTTATAAATATTCAACGAAATTTCGCAAGAAAAATGAAGCGACTTCTTCTTCTACTTCGTTACAACAAAATAATTCAAATATTCAAAATTCAAGTGAGATTGTAAATCAAATTTCCGGAAATGAAAAACCACGAAGGGTGAGTCCAGTACAAAAAAATAATTACCAACCTAATCAAAGGAAACCACAAATGTACGCTTTGAGATAAATGGAAATTTAGTTTACTAATGATTATATTACTATTTTTATTATTATTATTATTATTATTATTATATTAATACCTTAAGAAATGAATCATACAGATCTAATATTTTTTTTGAAAAGAACAAACTTTTGTTATTCGTTAAATTGACGAAGTAAAACGGTGGCCTTAATATATGTTAGACAACTATTTTTTTAACGTTCTCATTGATGTTGATCGGATTTTAAAGTAATTTAAAAAAAGGAAAATAAAAAAAAAAAATAATAAACCAGTGCCTTTCATAATAATTACTGGGAGCCAAAGACTCGGTATCAAGCAGTGTTTTAATATTTTGTAATATTTATTGATACGTCCATATATCGTATCTTATTTAACTATTAAGTAAATTTAAACAATTTACAGTACCTGCATTATTGTGCTCTTATCAACGAAAAATATGCCTTAAATAACTTTTGATTTCTAGGAAAGTTTTATTTGCTTCATGCATTTAGATCTTTATTAAAAAATAATTAATTCAATTATTAAATCAATAATTGAATTAATTAATTATTAAATCAATTAATAATTAAATTATTTAATTATTAAAACAATTAATTATTGAATAAATAAATTATTTAAATAATTATTCAATTTGTTTAAAAATAATGATTAAATTCATTAATAATTAGTTTAAAAGTTTTTCTCTACTATAAAGTAATGAATTACAATTTATCTTTAACAGTCACTATATAACTATAGTATAGTTATATTTATCCTACAATTTTAAAAGTTTTTTTGAAAATTAATTTTCATTTCTTTTTCATCTACAATTTGTAAACTTATTTGCAGAAAAAAAACAACTTAAAATTTATACCTTAATATTATTTAAAAAATTGAGCATTTTGTAAAGTAAAACTGTGGTTAAATAATTTTCTTGATAAAAGAAAATCTAATTCTACGAGAAAAAAAAAATTATAGAAAAATTAGTATCTATAATTTTAAATTTTGTTTATCATTTTTATTTTTTAAATAATTAATAAATTGCTTCATAAAAAGCAGATGTACCTTATTAGAAATAGGATATTTCAAAGATAAATAACATTATTTTAGATAGACTGCATTAATATTATTCATTTTTCAATGCCTTGTAATTTAAATAGCGAATAAAAGGAAAAGTGATAAAAATAAAATTTATTTTTATTTCCTCATATACCCGAAAGGCTTTTTTTTTAATTTTAAATTAATAATTTTTTTTAAAAAACTGTAGAAAACTGTTTTTTAAAAATCTATTTTAAAACCGAGTTTTATTCACAACAGGACGAAGGAACAATAAAGTAAAATTTTCTGATGTTTTTATGGTTTGTACTAATTTTTTTTTTTATTTGACAAATAAAAAGTATACATTACAAATGATCGTAAACTGTATATCTTAAAGAATACGTGTCGTGTTACATGCGGGTTTGCAAATCTATATTTTTTTTCAACTTCATCAAAAAACAGTTCTCCTATGTGTGTGTTTGTTTTTTTTTATAATTTTTTTTTTTTGCTTTTTCTTTATTTTCTTGTTCTTCGTTTTTTTTTTTTTGTAAACTCTCATTCTCTCTTCCTTTCATTCGTCTTCTTCTTTCACTTAGCAATAAAATTGTAGGCGCACGCTTCAGTATATATTTTTTTTCTTTATCTTTACACAAAGTTTTAACAATGTGTAATAATATTATATATATATATATGTATATGTTTATGAAATTAAATTATACATAAAAAAAATTAAAAAAAAGAAAATGCATATGAGCTTATAACATAAAAGCAAACTAATTTATAACCACTATGCTTTTTTCTCCCATAAACTGAGACTATAAAGAAAATTTTTTCAAAAAAAAAAAAAAAAAAAAAATAGAAGCTCTTAGCAATATTCTAAGAGTTTATAAATGCCCTTTTTTATGATTTGCTCTAAAGATAGTAAAATAATTAATGAATATTAAAGAAAAGGGGGGGATGATTTTTTTTGGGGAGGATGGTGAAATTGTCCTAAAACAATTTCTCTGGTTATTATATTTATAGAAAAACGGAAATTGTTTCACTTAAAACTTATGTTTTTGACATTTTTTTGTCACGCAAATTGGAGGTATAAAAATCGGTATCGGAAACATTATGATTTCAATCAGTTTCATTGGTAAGTTCTAATGTTTATAATTAACGATCAACATTATAATTTACGTTAATGCTATTTACAAATGTTAGATTTAAACACGAATCTGATTGTATCAAGTAATTTTTATTCTCATTTATTATTATTTTTTTTTTCTGCAGTGGCTCTTAATTATTTCTCGATGGATCATATAATTATTACTAAATTCAAGATCAATTATTTCTACATTCTAAAATACCGTGAGATATACACTCTACTCTTCATTACATGTAATGTATAATAATGTTAATTTCAAGATGACAAGAGGAAGATTATTTTGTTATCGAATATTTTTTTTTTTTTTTTTTTGCTTATATTACAACTTTAATCAGCTATACATTTTTTTTTTTTTTAAATAATGATGCTAAATATTTCTATTTTTGAGAGAGGAATTTTAGTTTATACTATTTTTCAAATTATTGAATAATGATTATGAAAATAATAGTTCTTATCACAATTATTAAAAATCTGTGATGGTTATATAATTACTAAGATAATAATAAGAGGAGAGAAAGACACGTTACTCTTTATGTACAGTTTATTTATTTATTATTTTTTTTTGTAGCGCTCTCTCGTTAGTCTTTAATTTTCTTTTACTCGATTTTGTACTTTTTTTCCGTAACTCCAATTAGTAATGAATTATTTAAATTTTGGAGTTAGAGTGCATACAGTTCTCGATATTTCGAAATTTAAAAAAAACGTCTTAGGGAAATAATGAAGATTGTTAAAAAAAAATTCATTATTTTCCAGACAAATTATCAGTAATATTCTAATTTGTATTTCTGAAAAGAAAACAAAAAAATAAAATCAAGTTCAAAATAAATGTTTAAAAAAAAAAAGGTTTTTTTTTTTGCAGTATATAGGAAACGTTTAATTTTCTTTCTTAAAAAAAATGTATATAAAGAAAAGAAATGTATTCATCTTTGTGACAATTAAAAAATAATTCTTGGATTTTTTTTCATAATCAAAAAAAACATGGTGTGACAGACAATAAAAAGTGAACAATAAAACTAAACTAATTATAAAGGATTTCCCACGATATCAGTCATATCCGATACGTAAAAAGATAAGTCAGTATTTCTTTATAAATTACAATGCTACTGACATTGTATCTTTTTTTTTTTTTATCAAAATTATTTTCGGTCGTCAGTTATCGTTAATTGTTAACAATTATAACATACTAATGTTTGTTTCATTTTCTTTCTCATTTAAAACAAAACAAATAAAAAAAAAAAAAAAAAACCAAAAAGATTTCTCTTTGCACATCTAATTCCATGTACACAAATGTGTACAAAAAAATGCACACAGATATGCCTTTCATCGTCTTATTGTTAATCTTGTTTTCTTTATCTTTTTTTTTTTGTTTCATTCATTTTTTTTCAATTATGTCGAATATGAAATAAATCTTGTTAAAAAATGTTTTACAAACGCGTCTTTGGCTCCCGCATGCCAGACCATTCGTCTCCTTTTTTAGTAGTTCTCAGCGTTCTCGTGTACACTGCAAAAGAAAAGAAAATCGAATATTTAATTTTATTTAAAAAAATAATAAACGTAAAAATAAACAATTTTAATAATAAAATCTTGAACAAATATAGAAATTATTTCAGTTACTTTTGTATTTATAATTTTTTTTTTTCAGCCCTATTACAAAAAAACGAATCGCATAATTTTCAGAATTCAAATAAAAATTATGATTATATTGAAATTCAGATTGATTATAAAAATAGTAAATGTAAAACGATTAGTAGGATGAAGAGGCGATGCATCGATGATTGAGCATAATCACAGCAGGGATGATGTGTTAGTTCCAAAAGCATTGTTTTTTTCAGAAGTCGACGATTGTAAGCACCTTTGTAGGATGATTAGTGATTTTTTGTTACATCAATGTAGAACAACAAAATCACTAGTCTTCCATACAACGGGACTAAATATTTCTCCCCCAATAGAAAAATGCAACAAGGTGCCCTTCTCTTTCTTCGTCTTCTTCGCTAAAATTCCTTCACCATTCACGCAATTAAACGAAGAAAAAAAAATATCAAACAACACACACTTCAAGCAGTTAGTAAATTGCATTTACAAAAAATATTCCAGTATTATTCGAGCAGTTAGTTAAAATTTTTGCATGAAAGATGAGATTATGACAACGATCAACAAATATATGCAAATGCCAAGATCATTTTTTTTTTTTTTTTGAAAAACAATCTTAATTAACATTCCATTTTTTTAAATTAAAGCAAAGCGTATTCTAATGATTAGCCTTTGTGCACTCTTAGTCAGTAACAATTCATTTTTTTTTCTTTTCAAAGTTTGAAGATTATCGTATAATATAAAGTTTTTTGAATTCGTAGATTTATACAAACAGAATATGCCTTAATGTCAATTTGTATTTAATTTCTACATATATTCATTTTTTATAAACATTTATATTTTTAATTAGTGAAATATTTAAATTGTTCTTCACACAAATTGACATTTAAAAAAATTGTAAATTTTTGGTAAAAAAAATAACAATTGAATTTGATTACAAACGTAATAATTTAAATATATATATAAATATTTATATATTTCGGACGAATTTTCAAAAATTAACAATAATTGTCGAATTTCACAAAATTGATACTGAAGATAGTAAGCTATTATTTGTTTTAGTTTTTGAGATGTAAATTATAAAAAAAAAAGAATTACCTTTGCTGAAGAAGATACTGAGCCATTTGTATTTGGTTCGGTAATCCAGTAATGGTGATAATACGATCATTACTTCCAGGCAAAGGCTCGTCAATGGTGATGGCGGCACCACTGTCGGATCTAATTTTACGAATTCTTGCTCCACCTTTACCAATTATGGCTCCTGCCAACTAAAAAACAAAAAAAAAATCATTAATTTTCGTTAAAATCACAATTAGAAAAAAAAAGTGCCTAACAAAATAAAAAAATGATTAACAAAACAGTATTTCAAATATTAATTAATGTTTTGTTTTATTCTTAAAATTAATCGTTGGCAAAAAATTAATTTCGAATATTTCTTACTTCTTTGGGAATAGTAACTTGTGTACTGGTTTTGTTTCCACCGGACATATTTCCTTGGTTTCCTTGATTTCCACCCATGGGTCCTCCCATTCCTGAATTTCCCCCACCCATACCATTTGAACCACCGCCTTGCATTCCACCCCAACCATTATCTAAAACGAACAAAAAAAAAACATTAATAAGAAACAATTAATTAAATAAAAGAAAATTGTACTGAAAATACATTCATTAAAGCATCCATTAGAAAATGCGAAAATGAAATTTTCATTCAATTTTAACTTTCGAGTGTAGGAAAGTTTTTTCAAGTATCAAAATTTAAAAAATAATACTCAAATTACGATTTCAGATAATTACAAAAATCATACTCGTAATTTCTTTCACAAATGGAAAAATTAAATTCTATAATTTGGAAAATAATAAATAAAAATAGAAATGAAAATTGTATATTTAATAATTAATTCATAAATTGATACTGAATAGAAAGAGAGAAAAGAAAAAAAATATAAATTTCTAAAGGATTCTTTTTTTGTTCATTTACTTTGCCTATCCTTACTGGGTTTGCCATTAAAGTTTCCACCACCGCCGTATGGTGGTCCACCTCTGTTTCCATTATATCCACCTCGGCCACCTTCATAATTTCCACCGCCTCCACTGCCACCTCCACCGCGTGAATTACCGCCATAATTGCGCTCAGGTGGTCCAGACATTCCACCTCCACGTGGTCCACCTCGAGATGGTGGAAAGCCTCGATTCATATCTGGCATGCCACCTCCACCACGTCCATCTCGTCGTTGTCCCATTCCACCGCCACCACCTCCTCCACCGCCGCCGCCTCCACGGCCCATTCCACCTCCAAATCCACCTGATTTACCACCTTGATTCCCATCTGGATTACCATAACCGCCATATTCGTCTGCATAGAAGTCGTCATAATTATGCGGATCGTAAGGATTGTTAACACCCTTCAGTGGAGACTAGAAAACAAAAAAATTATCATTATTAGCAAATATTTTCATTTTGAACTTTGTGTTCAAAAAAATTTTTAGCCATTTTTTTTCTGTATAAAAAATGAATTATAGGACAGAAAGTCCGATCAATATTCAATAAAATAGATTTCGTTTCTTATTGAGCAAAAAAAAGGTATTTTTAAAATATATTTTAAAAAAGTAAGCAAAAAAAAAACTAATTTCATATATATGAATTTGACATAATAAATTCTACTCACAGTCTTAATAGTGGCGATCAATTCGCGAATGCAATCCATGCATGTGTCAGCTTTGCCACAAATGCTTATCAGCCGGTCTGTACTATGTGGACAACAGTTGGAATAGATTTTAATTCTTGCGCCAGTTTTCTGTAAAAAATAAAATCGAATCCGTTAATAAAATTAATTACATTTTTAAAATAAATAACACAAGTTTCATGAAAATTTCAAAAAATAATATTCAATTTCACTTAAACATTTATTTTTTTCAATTTTAATAAAAAATTTTTTATCATAAAAATTGAATCCTTATTCATGTTTTAAAAATATTTTTATTTATAAACTTTTGATTACTTCTGATGTAAATAATAAAAAAAAAAAAAAAACTAAGTTTCTTGAGTGAGTTTCGAGATATTGGAAACTGGGAGAATTTCAAATAATTTCCACTAGAAACAACCCAAAGTTTCGATACTGTAGGGGATCTCTGATTATTCAGAAACGAGTGAATAGAAATGTGGTCTCTCTTTGATCTACATAATTAAACGACACAATTTCTATGCCCTACACACACATATACAAATATATGGCAGCTTTATGTATTTATACAGTTTAGATATTAATTGATCCCGTCAAATGTTGTCACTCTCATTTCAAGTGAAATTTCAAAATAATATGATTTTCATCATCATCATAATGTCAATCAATTTTCCAAATGGATATGTAAAATACGAATAAAAAAAAATAAAATTATTTCCAAATAGAATCGAAAAAATGGAAATTAAAAAATGAAAATTTAAAAGTTGGAAAAGTCAAAGATTTTTAAAAACAATTTTTAAAAAATTATACATTTTTTTAAAAAAGTATCAATATTTTTATAACAAACATTTATAGTATCGAGAGAAATATATTTTCAACAAGAGAGGTTAGTCTTTAAACGTAATTCGATTAAGTGCAAATCATGTTTAAATTCTCTTATGAATTTTCATGAAACCTAGAAATACTATTCAACAGTTTTAGTAACGCGAGCGAAAGTCATTTACAATTGGAAGTCAATCGACTAAGGTCTCTTGTGAATTCAGCCACAATTTTCAAAAAAAAAAAATCCTTTTTTCCAAACAAAATATTTACTTAACAAAAATTTACAAGTTTAAAAAAAAGACCAAAAAATTGAAATAAATTTCAAATAAAGAAACGAGTCATTAAGATTAAAAACGAATTTGCATAGAATAAGGTAATTTAAAAAGTGTAAAATTTTTTTTAAATCCATAAAAAGAATATTTTTTAACCCGTAAAGACAATAGAAAATATTTCAAATTAACAACATATTTCCTCAATTATTTGTATTATTTTTAGTGAAATTTTTCCAACGACCTTTGTCCTCTCTGGAAATACACAAGATTGTTATCAACGAAAATTTTACATTTATTTGTTATCAGGTAAGTAATAACATTTCCCTTTTCTTTTTTTATGAAAACACAGTGTTAATGAATTCAGTGAACTTTTCAAGAAAATATCTTTTCTTAAATATAAAGAAAAAAAAAAGAATAAAAACTTTTCGATACAAAAGAACTGAATGAAGAATTCATATTTATTTAAATTACTAGTAAGTAATGTTCAATTGAAGATTAAAAAAAAATCAGGAAATTATTAAAGTATTTCCATTTTATTATTCCTTTTTTTAAATGCAACGTAAAACAATTTTTTTTACTATTAAAAACTTAGTGATCATAAGAATATTTTTTTAAAAATCATTTTTACAGAATAGATTCATTTAAAAAAAAAAACATCAGTTCCGAATTTTCAATTTCAGAAGAGAATATTCATAGAGAAAAATGGCGAAAATTTACTCGGCGAATGAAATTTCACAGCACAGTGAGGAAAATGATTTGTGGATGGTGATACACGGAGGAGTTTATGATTTAACAAAATTCCTAAAAGAACATCCAGGTGGTGAAGAAGTTCTCATTAATTTGGCAGGTAAAGATGGATCTCAATGTTTCGACGACATTGGTCATTCCTATGAGGCAATAACACTTCGGGAATCATTTAAAATTGGCGAAACTAATGAGATGCCAAGTGAAAATACTGAAAAAAATAAACCAATCTCATCGGATCATTCAAATAATGATAATGACAATAATTGGCAATATGAGGAATCAAAAAAAGAAACATCATCATCGTTCTTCTTTCCAATTGCCATGGGTCTGACCGTTTTAATTTACGCCATAATATTTTATCGTGTCTATTTTTAATTAATAATAATTACTATGTATCAAATATGAAAAAAAAAATGTAAAATAAAATTTTCTACTAAATTATTTATTTTTCTTTTTGAGATGGAAATATTCACTTCGTCATCGTTAGGTAAAAAAAAAAAATTATTAAATAACAATAAAGTCATGATACGAGTATTAATAAAATTTTTCTTGGTATTATTTTTCGAATTTCAATTTCAGGTAGATTACTTTAAAAATATTTACCAAAATTTTAATTAGTAGTATTAGCCATAACTGATATAGAACTGTAAATAAAATGATTTTATATTCAGTTAATGTATTTGAATTATTATAAAATTGTACTGAAAAATGTAAACAAACGTGATAATTATATTTTATACGAGAGTTTCTTCTCTATTGAGTTACTTTGCAATGATCAATGACGTCATCGTGACTCGTCTATTTCAATACCTATTATTTCATATGTCTCTACATACACACCTTATTATTAAAGGCAAGTCTAATTTTTTTAAAAATAAATTTTCTTATATTGCAATTTGTCATTAAATTTAAAAATTTTTATTTCCAAAAATTTCTTTATATTAAATTAATAGTATAAAAAAACATTCAAACATTTTTAGTTTAAATGTTTCTTTTTTTTAAACAATAAATATTTTGAGATAAAATTTAAACAAATTGCTATAAATTGTCAATAATTTTGATATGAGGCAAAAAAAGTACATATCGAGAGAAAGCATCACAAAGATCACGGCAATCAAAGTAAACAATTGGTTTTTCAATCAATTTATATTTATACAATAAACGAGATAAGTGAAAATTCTTGTTAACTGTATAAAATATAAAGTTACTTTTTGCCGTATCAGCTTTTTCAAAAAAAACTTGATCATCAATGGACGACCTTCGTTCGTTGTATGAGAGTCACTTATACACTGATATAACTCGGTATATAAACAAGTCTATATAACCATGATAAGTGAACGAAAAGCGAGAGTAGGGGAGTCCACACAGACAAGAAAGATGGATAAAACTATGCACTTGATCATTCTCTGTCAGTGTATAAGCGCGAGAGATTCTTTAAACATTCTTCTTAATATAAACTGTTCTCTTTAGAAAATATTCTTCTTAATTAGTTTTCTAAACTCAATTCTTCATTTTTTTTTCATCAAAAAACAATATTGTTTTCCAACATTAAATGAGAAAATAGTTTTTGAGAAAATTAAAGTTGAAGAATCAATAGGAATAATAAAAGGTGGGTCACACTATTTAATAGTCAAGTGAGAAAAAAAAAATTTTTTATGAATAAATTAATCAATTTTTGAGGCCATTTGGAGTGAAAAATAAAAAATAAATTCAATATGATTAGTTTCTTGAATATTTCTACACTATTTTTACAGTCATAGATAAAATAATGTCTTATCAAAATTGTAAGTCATTTACTGCGCATTACTTGAAGTTGAAAAAATTAAAAAAAAAAGTAATTTTAATTTCATCATTTAATTATTTATTTTGGATGGACAATTTGAATTCTTTTGTCTCGACATATTTAGATTTTAACAGTCACATTGGTATTATTTTTGAAATTAAAATTATATTTAAGTTAATTTTAAAAATTATTTTTTTACAATTAGTGAAATTAATTTTTGTTTTTTATACTAATATTCGAATTATAAATTATCGATTATAAAGTAAATAAAAAGTAGAATAAAAAAAATCAGTGAAATTATTTATATAAATCGACTTTTTTCAAGATTAGAATTATATAGAGGTTAAAGATCATCATCTGTAAGACGTTGGTTTTAAAAAACAAGACATTTTTTCACTATATTGTAATTTTCAAAATCACCTGCAAGTATTTTCAATTTGTTAAGAAAGTTTTTTTTAATAAATTAATATATGAAATAAATATAACTAAATTTTTTTATAAACAAAATATTAAATTTTGTGAAAATTTTTACTGACAAAATTAAAATAATAAAAATATTTTACATAAAAATTATTAACAATTTAAAAATTACGTATAAATATTATATCAGGATCATTCTATTATATTTCACCTAAAGTCGTTAAAAGTTAAATTTCGGGTTACATTTTAATAAATCCTTTTCCAAAGTCTCTAATAAAACTTCTTCAATCCCCTTAGTATGAAACCAGCATAAAGAAGAAGATGAAAAACCAGTTTTTCAATTAACGTTTTTTTCTTAATTCAAAAAAAAAAAAAAAAAAAAAAAACTTTTGTTTCAGATCCTTGGATAAAGTATCAAGAAAAGTCGTCGACAAATCATGACTAAGCTAAAGCAATTCACGAGAGCAGAGATTGAAAACAGTGACGTTAAGCAAAATACGTTTATTATAATACACGACAAGGTGTATGATGTTCATCAATTTTTAAATGAACATCCAGGAGGTGAAGAAATTCTTTTGGATCATCGTAATAAGGATGCATCTGAGGATTTCGATGACGTGGGTCATTCGACTGATGCCTTTGAATTAATGAATAAATACAGAGTTGGCGAATTAATTGAAAGCGATAGAAAAAATGTTCAACCAAAAGCTGGATGGGTAGCTGGTTATAATTCCAAAGAACCAGAAAAATATGTTTCTGGACCAGGTGCACCATTTTATCTCTTTATCATTGGTGTAATAGGAATTTTAATTGCAATAATGTATCTCAATGCATAAACTATATAAAGTAAATAATTTTATATATTATTAAAAAAGGAGATATTTCGAAAAAAAAATTTCAACAATAAAGTACACTTTAAATAGTAAATTCTTATAAATTTATTTTGAAAAGTGAACTTATTTAAACTGACTTAAAATATTCTATATTGATTAACAGGAAAATTTAATCAACTGTAAACATGGCTGAGAATATTTGTATCGCCTTTTTGAAACTGAATTGTAAATTTTATTAATGTTTATAGTAAAGTGTAATAATATTTTATGTAATTTTACTAAAATTTATGTATGTAAATAGAAACTATTTTTAACTGAAAATAAAAAAATTGCATAGTCAATTTTATAAATACTCAAAAAATGTTTTCTTGGAAAAATAATGAATGATAAAAAAAAATTAAATTATCTAGTCTAAGAAATATTTTCTTATTATTATTTGTAATTGAATAAAAATAATCAATTAATCTTCAATAAGTAAAAATAAAAAAAAAATAATTAACTCCCCTTTTTTCTAGGAAAAAAAAAATGAAATGAAAATAATGAAATTAGATTGTCCCTAATTTATTATATTAGACCAATAATGAGTCAAATACAGAAATTTTGGTAGAACAATCGAAAGCGGAAATGAATGGTGAAAAACAGATGGTACGAAAATGTATTGAATGGACGTGCGGTCTTCCGCTGTCACATGTGCCGTTTACAGTCCTGTGAAAGGATCTGCAGCTGATATTCAAAAGGATAAGTTCATTCGTGAAACAGGAAGTCCAAACTTCTTTAAATTTAATATAGAGAATAACATGCAAAAATGGTCCACCATTTTTTTTTTTTTCAAAAGATTAAATTTCTAAAGAAATCCAAATGATTCAATTTAAACATTTTTTTTATATATTCACTATTTCGAATAATAATTAAATAATTTTATATTTTTAATTTTTTTTTATACTATTTAAATTTCTTATTCGAGATATACAAAAAAAAATGGACAAAAATTCATTGCAGTTTAAAAAAATAAAATAAAATAACTCGTTATTTTAATATTTAAAAAAAAAATTGTAACCAAATATGTGTTTTTTTGAAAAATAAAATAAAAAGTGGATTCACTGAATGAATAAAAAAACGGGTTTTACTATACAGTAAATGAATAAAAATTCAATTAAATAGAATAAAAAGAAAAATAAATTCACTTCGATAAATGATTAATCAAAATCAGATAAATAAATGAAGAAGAAAATTCTCAATTTTAATTTTCATTTACTGAAGTAAAGGAATAAAAAGAATTAAATTCAATTGAAAATTTAAATTTACAAAAACAAAAAAAGAAAATCAAATTCAATAAAAAAAAGAAAAAAAAACCTTTGTAAAAGAGTAAAGTAGAAAAGTATGTCTTAAGTAAAATATATGAAGGACAACTCACTTGTTTTTAAAAAAATAAGGAAATATACGTAATTCCATAATGATGAAAAATTTCCTTTCTTTCCCCCTCGCAATGAAAAATTGATGTTGGCAAGTAATTGGGGGCGGTTCAAATACTACACAATTAAATTCTACATCGTTAAAACCCTACACGTCAAACTCTACACAGTTAAATTGCACGCCGTTAAACCTTATACAATTTATTTTTTAAATTCTACACACTTAATGTGTACAATGTTAAACTCTACACAAATTTATTTTGTAGTGAAAAATTAATTTCTTTAAATTCAACACGGTTAAATACCACAACGTTAAACTCTACATATATTTCTTTTGTAATAAAAAATTAATTTTCTTAAATTTAACACAGTTAAATTCCACATCGTTAAATTCTACACATATTTATTTTGTAATGAAAAATTAATTGCATAAAATTCTACACAGTTAAATTGTTCACCGTTAAACTCTCCATAAATTTATTTTGTATTATAAAATAAAATTTGTTTAACTCTACACAGTTAAGTTGCATATTGTTAAACTCTACAAAAACTAATATTATAATATAAAATTAATTTTAATAAATTCTACACCGTTAAATTGCACACCGCCAAACTCTTCATAAATTGATTTTATAATAGAAAATAAAATTGATTAAATTCTACACAGTTAAATTGCTCACTGTTAAATACTAAAGAATTTATTTTTTAAATTCTGCACAGTTAAATTCCACCTCGTTAAATTCTACACAGATTTATTCTCTAATGAAAAATTAATTGCATAAAATTCTACACAGTTAAATTGTTCACCGTTAAACTGTCCACAAATTTATTTAATAATAGAAAATAAAATTTGTTGAACTCTTCACAGTTAAATTAAACACACTTAAACTCTACACACACTAATCTTATAATATAAAATTAATTTTATTAAATTCTACACAATTAAATTACACACCGTTAAACTCTTCACAAAATTTAATTTAAAAAAAATAAAAATTTATTAAACTGTACCCCGTTAAATTGCACATTGCTAAACTCTAAACGATTTAGTTTTTAAATTCTAAACAATTAAATGCTACAATGTAAAATTCTACACAAATATATTTCGCAATTAAAAATTAATTTCGTTAAATTCTACATAGTTAATTTCCACACTGTTAAACCATACACAAATTATTTTTTAATTGTACACAATTAAATTGTACAATGTTAAACTCTACGCAAATTTATTTCATAACAAAAAATAAGTTTTGTTTAATTCTGCACAGTTAAATTGCACACCGTTAAACCATATACAATGTATTTTTTAAATTCTATACATTTCAATTGTACAATGTTAAACTCTGCACCAATTTATTCTTTAGTGAAAAATTAATTTTGTTAAATTCTACTCTGTTTAACTCTAAACTGTTAAATTCTACAGAAATTTATTTTGTAAATGAAAAATTAATTTTGTTGAATTCTACACAGATAAATTCCACACCGTTAAACTCTTCACAAAATTTAATTTTAAAAAAATATAAAATTTATTGAACTCTACACAGCTAAATTGCACATTGTTAAACTCTAAACAATTTAGTTTTTAAATTCTACATAATTAAATGCTACAATGTAAAATTCTACACAAATTTATTTCGCAATTAAAAATTAATTTTGTTAAATTCTACATAGTTAATATCCACGCAACGTTAAACATCAGACAAATTATTTCTTAAATTGTACACAATTAAATTGTACAATGTTAAACTCTACGCAAATTTATTTAGAAAAAAAAATCCGCCATTTCAAGAAAATTGTTACTCGGGGGTTTTTTGGGTCGCTGATTACGAATCTGATATCAGATTTTCAATATTTAAAATGGCGGATCCAATATGGCGGATGATTATTTAAAAATTTGGATGCATTTTCTTGCAACCTGATTATTGGGAGGTTTTCGGGGTTGCTGATTACGAATCTAATGTTAGTTTTTCAAAATTCGAAATGGCGGATTTTTTTTTTTTTTTAAATAAATTTGCGTAGAGTTTAACATTGTACAATTTAAGAAATAATTTGTCTGATGTTTAACGTTGCGTGGATATTAACTATGTAGAATTTAACAAAATTAATTTTTAATTGCGAAATAAATTTGTGTAGAATTTTACATTGTAGCATTTAATTATGTAGAATTTAAAAACTAAATTGTTTAGAGTTTAACAATGTGCAATTTAGCTGTGTAAAGTTCAATAAATTTTATATTTTTTTAAAATTAAATTTTGTGAAGAGTTTAACGGTGTGGAATTTATCTGTGTAGAATTCAACAAAATTAATTTTTCATTTACAAAATAAATTTGTGTAGAATTTAACAGTTTAGAGTTAAACAGAGTAGAATTTAACAAAATTAATTTTTCACTAAAGAATAAATTGGTGCAGAGTTTAACATTGTACAATTGAAATGTATAGAATTTAAAAAATACATTGTATATGGTTTAACGGTGTGCAATTTAACTGTGCAGAATTAAACAAAACTTATTTTTTGTTATGAAATAAATTTGCGTAGAGTTTAACATTGTACAATTTAATTGTGTACAATTAAAAAATAATTTGTGTATGGTTTAACAGTGTGGAAATTAACTATGTAGAATTTAACGAAATTAATTTTTAATTGCGAAATATATTTGTGTAGAATTTTACATTGTAGCATTTAATTGTTTAGAATTTAAAAACTAAATCGTTTAGAGTTTAGCAATGTGCAATTTAACGGGGTACAGTTTAATAAATTTTTATTTTTTTTAAATTAAATTTTGTGAAGAGTTTAACGGTGTGTAATTTAATTGTGTAGAATTTAATAAAATTAATTTTATATTATAAGATTAGTGTGTGTAGAGTTTAAGTGTGTTTAATTTAACTGTGAAGAGTTCAACAAATTTTATTTTCTATTATTAAATAAATTTGTGGACAGTTTAACGGTGAACAATTTAACTGTGTAGAATTTTATGCAATTAATTTTTCATTAGAGAATAAATCTGTTTAGAATTTAACGAGGTGGAATTTAACTGTGCAGAATTTAAAAAATAAATTCTTTAGTATTTAACAGTGAGCAATTTAACTGTGTAGAATTTAATCAATTTTATTTTCTATTATAAAATCAATTTATGAAGAGTTTGGCGGTGTGTAATTTAACGGTGTAGAATTTATTAAAATTAATTTTATATTATAATATTAGTTTTTGTAGAGTTTAACAATATGCAACTTAACTGTGTAGAGTTAAACAAATTTTATTTTATAATACAAAATAAATTTATGGAGAGTTTAACGGTGAACAATTTAACTGTGTAGAATTTTATGCAATTAATTTTTCATTACAAAATAAATATGTGTAGAATTTAACGATGTGGAATTTAACTGTGTTAAATTTAAGAAAATTAATTTTTTATTACAAAAGAAATATATGTAGAGTTTAACGTTGTGGTATTTAACCGTGTTGAATTTAAAGAAATTAATTTTTCACTACAAAATAAATTTGTGTAGAGTTTAACATTGTACACATTAAGTGTGTAGAATTTAAAAAATAAATTGTATAAGGTTTAACGGTGTGCAATTTAACTGTGTAGAGTTTGACGTGTAGGGTTTTAACGATGTAGAATTTAATTGTGTAGTATTTGAACCGCCCCAAGTAATTGCACTGAAGTAATATAAAAAATGCTTCAAAAAGAGAGAAATAAAAAATAAGAAAAACAGTTATTTGAAAATAAAATTTTCAAGAAGGTGAGGTGCTCACTTTTGTATAGTCGAGCAACAACTGAAGCTAACACTGAATCTTTTAAAAGCCCTTACCCCTTAGTGAAGTTAGGTCGCGCGCTTAAAACTTTCCTTTTCCTGGGTGCTTTTTATTCAATGGGAGGTGAACATATCCTTCTCCCCCCCACCCTACACTCCTCTGGTTATAAGAATCGACTCTCAACCTAACACGAACACACAATGTCAGTTATTTCACTAACTTGTTGTAGAAATGGAAAAAAAGAAGAAAAAAAACTCAACCCAATGAATTTATATACTTGAATGAAAAGAAGTTGATGAAATAAGAATTACTTTCGCAAAATTTGTTTCATACAAAAAATTTCACCAAAATTTTCAAATGGAGGCAAATTTTAACTCATACAAAATATCTCTTATTTCTAAGTTTTTTCTGTCACAAGTTTTAGAATTTCATTTCCATTTATCCAAAGAAATTTTCCACATAAATACTTTTTTACAATTTTTTATCGTAAATTGAAATTTTTAAAAAATCACAAGAGTAATTTTTAGAAAATTAATTTTAGACGGAAAAACTATTGGTATTTATATGAATAAAAAATTAAATGATTCGGATGATTTTTTTTTGTAACTATTTAAGATTTAAAATGTCACTAAAAAAAATGTAATCTACAAATTTGAATTTTCTATTTTTAAAAATGATAAGTTTAGAAAAAAATCGTTAAAAAAATATTGTCAGTGCTTGTCTATTATTAAACTAAAAAAAAATATTTATTTTAGTGAAATAACTTTTTTCTCAAAGAATTTTTCTTTGGAGGGAAATTTATGAATAACGATACAGAAAGAATTTTCCTGATTTGGAAGTGAGCGAAGGTAGTTATTTTGAGTTGGGAAGAGCAGGGGCACACCATCAACGTTAGTGAACGGCATGTACACCTGGCATGGCAGCTGTTAAAAACCGACCATTACCTGATGTAGCACCTGTTCGAATTGCGTGCCATGCGGGCGAACCCTCGTATAGCAACACATGTCGATGAAGGAAAAGTCCACCGACTTTCGCGTGACGAAACTCAACTTTATAAAAATTTTAACTGATAAATAAAAAAAAATATGAAAAATGCCGAAAATAAGAATGTCACATTCGCCAGAAGACAATCCTATAATGTCTATTGTATTCTAAATAAATAATTACAATATCCTCTGAATAATAAAAAAAAATAATTCATTATAAATTTTTCCAATCTCTAAATCTTTTAAGCGCTTTAGAAAATCATATTTTTTTCAAAAATCATTCTTTTATTTCCTTTTTTTCCAATTTCATGGAATGTGGTTTGAAAAATAACATCGAATTCGACTGTGAATATTGATCCAAATACCTATTGTCTTTAAAAGCCATAAAAAAAGTAGAAAAATTTACTAAAAGCTCGCTTTTTATTGAAAAAAAAACAACTTTATACTCATTGTAAAAAATTGCTTTTTCCTCTCTTTTAATATTTTAGGATCATTTCTGATATAGGACTGCAATGTGGAATTTAAATTTCACCTTGAGATCAACAGGAAGAGATTTTATTAAAAATTAAAAAAAAAGTATTCAGGAGTTTCGTAATAAACTTGAAAAGTAGTTTGACCCCCACTAAGGTAAAAAAAAAATCGCGTTTTTTTTTTTTTTTGCATAAAAGAAAAAGTATTGTGCATAAAATCAATAAAGTCGCCTCTGACGGCTTCAAGTCGAATTAAATCAGCATTGGCGATGTCGCTGAATGGTATAGAGACTCTCTCACCCTTCTTACTCTGAATAATATATAGAATCGGAACATTGAAGAATCGAACTTTTTCATATTTTTTTCTAATCATACAATTTATCACGTTTTTTTCTCTTCTATTCAATATTTTTGCACTATTGAAATTTTTTTATTCTCGAAATTTTGAATAGTGATGAAAAATTATTTCCAGAAAAACACGTAAGAATAAATATAAATATTTAAATAAACTTTTTATCAAATTTTCCCAATAGAAAATAAATGCTATTTTACTACTAAAATTTTCTTATGATTCAATAATTTTTAAAATTTATGTAATTCAATTTTTGTATATATTAAAATTTTCAAATGAAATTTCCATGTAAAACTTGTTGATTTTTGAATATTAATTTAATATAAAAAAAAATAATTTGTGATAAATCTTACCTCGCGAAGTTCCTTGATTTTAAGTCCACCTTTTCCAATGACACATCCTGCTTGACTCTGATGAACCAACATTCGGACATCGATTTCGTCATTTCCATGTCTTGAACCATTCTGCAATCATATCAAATTATTATAGTTTTTGAACAAAACAAATTCAAGCTCTATTACCAAATAAACACATAAAATAATAAAGAAATTTTTGACAAAAATTCATTTTCAATTTTGGAATAAAATAAAAAATACGAAATAATAATATTAAAAAAAATTCTCATTGATCTTACCTCTTCTAGATTGGGCACGATTTCATTTAAAACCTGAAGCACAGTCTCCAGATCTGAGCTGATAGTTAATACCCTAAAAGCAAAGAGATCAAAAGTTAAATCGTTTTCATAAAAATTGAGAGAAGCATTTGACGATTGAGTTATTGGAAAAATGTATTGCAATCGTGGTTTGGAAATATGCATGGATTTGATATCCTCAACCATTTCCATATTCCATCTGATAAATAAAACAAAATTTTTATCGTCGATTTTCACAACACCAACGATCGTCTCTTCATTTTTTTTCACGGAACCTTCAAAGTACTGTAAAATTAATTTTTGTTTCACTTTACCACGACTATTTCAAAAAAAAAATCACGTTAATAGGCATTGATGTTTTTTTTTAAATAAACAATTTTTTCAAAAAACAATTTAATTTAAAAAATTTTCAATACAAAAACAGTTTTTAAAAATTATAAGCTACTGAAAAAATTGATTAAATATAAAAAACGAACTTGAAAATTACAAATTATTTCAAAAATCGTATGGAATTTCTAAACTTTGAAAAAAATCTCCTCTCGTCAAAATATTAAAATTAATTAAACGCGTTGTTTTGGCTGATGGCCCTAAGACGTACTTACATTTTCTTAATGTTTTATTCTTTTTTTTTTTTTTAATGTGCAGCAGTCAGCGTTAAATGACACTTGTGATTATTAAAAGTGAAACATCAACTGTGATTATTCTCTAAGGGAATCATAAGTGTAAATTTTATTCATTATGTCTTAATAATAATAATATATACTAATAAGAATAATAAAGGCTTTGTGAAGACTAAAAAAAAGTGAATTTCGTGCACCGTGTCGCTCTTTGATTTAAACATTTTTTTTCTTCTTCAAGAAATAGGTTTGTCAATTTTCCATTTTTAATCACAGGTCAACAATTTTAATTAATTATCCACAGCTTTAAAAACTCTCTCTCTCTCTTTTTTTTAAATTGTCGACAATAATTGCTGGAAAAAGTGATAATTATTTTTTTTTAAAAACATGACAACTATCAAACGAGCATTCTTGAATAACGTTTTCTTTTTCGTCGACAATGCACTAAATTATTATTGTTCCTTCTATATAGTTGAAAAGAAAAACAAAAGGATTGTGCGTTGTGCAATAATTTTTTTCCTCTAAATTCCCAAGAAACTCTTTTAGAGCATGCAATTTAAATACAAATAGAAAAAAATTGCTCTTTTAAGTAAAAACTGTACAGGAAATTTTTTTTTTAATTGTCTATTTTTTGGATATTGTTTTTCAAATTAAATTTATTTCGCAAGAATCAGAAATAATTAGATATTAATATTAAATTTAAAAATCTATCAGTTATCAATTAATTGTTTTTAAAAAGGAAAAAGAATTAAAAAATTTTTAATTTAGAATTATAAGTAGAAAAATTGTCATGTGGGAAATTAAATAAAAAATCAATTTTCAGCCTGGGAAAAAATAGAAAATAATTTTCTATTTTTGCGCCTATTATTCCTGTCTCTGGAACTAATTATCCTAAGAAAAAAAAGTGTATCTCTCTGTTTATATATAAAAAAAAAACGTTGCACTCCAAATTCTCAATTGCAATCAATCTGAAACTGAATAATAATATTTGCTCGTGGAAAGTGAAAAATCTTCTCAAAGTATATTTTGGGAACTCGTGATTATTTCTGTAAAAGCAAACTCTTAACTTCTAAACACTACAGAAAAAAAATTATGTATTCAAAACTAGATAAAAACCAAAAAAAAATCTTTGCTTTGAATTTTTTTTTTTTTAGATGAAAACCAGGATTTTCCATGGGTCTCCGCTGTGTTGACCAGTGTAATTAATGTCGAGAAATATTCGGTCATAAAACTAGCCAGGAGAAGGTGCACTATCAATGACAACTAAACAAAAAAATTAAAATAAATAACAAAAAAATCATACATACACTGAGAAAAATTATTTATTTTGATAAACATAACTATTTTTTAATTTAAAACAAATATTTGTTTTATTTTAAAATTTACATAAAATCTAAAACATAATAAAATAAAGGAATTATTTTTTTTAAATTAAAAATGTAACTAAAAATCGTTTTAATGATTAATCCCAAGAAATTGTTTGGACGTTATTCACAAATGATAAAATTTTTCTCAGTGTGACAAATAAAAAAAAAAAAAAAAAAAAAAAGAAAAGTCATTGAAACAATTAACTAGAAAACAGAGAAAGAGAGAAAAACGGAAAGTGATAAAATATAAATTTTTTTCGAACTCATTCACATTGGACGGGAACCAAAGACCTGAAATTTAATGATTCTTATAACAAATGAGAAATAATAATTAAATCTGAAAAATCAAAACTGATAATGAATAAATATATATTGCTTTTTCTAAAACAAAAAAAAAAAAAAGAAAAACCGTTATAGATCTTAAATAATTTATACGTAGGGCGCATTTTAATTTTAGATAAATAGACAAAAGAAACAAATGAAATAAATAGATATACAATATTTTAAAAAAATAATAATAATGATGATGATGATGATGATAATAGAGAGTGAAAGAGAGGAAAATAATTGTTTTTCATATTTCAAGCGAGATGAAGTATATATATAATAAAGGATGTATATTTATAATATAATTTCACGATGCAGTTCGAAAAAGTGATTTGGGTGTTTGGTTTATGGGATATAAAAAAGAGATGGAGGATAATTCACGAGAGAAAAGAATGATGTCTATGCGATTAGGTGCTGAGAGCACATGGACACATTTAAGGTCTCGTGAGGTGTAAATGGACAGGCAAGACAGACAGACACGGGGGTGAGTAAAAAACAGATGCCGGGTTGGGTAATTCGGGGGTGGACAAATTTACAGACACAATTATGAGAGAAAGTATATAATATATGAATAATAAACCAGAATTAGTTCAGAGAGATAGAGAGAAAAAAAAGAGAGTGAAATATTGGTAAATAGACAGATAGAAAAGAGATCAACAGATAGAAAGACAGCTACATATAAATTGACAGATATACAAATGGATAAATAGAGATGAATGGAGATAAAGGAGAAAAAAAAATTTATGAATGGAAAATTACATGAATAATTATACCCTGAAAAAAATATTCCCAATTTTCATTTTATCCAATTTATGGAAATATTATTATCAATTCAAATTAGAAATTGTATTCTACATTTTTTTGTATTTTACAAATAGAAAATTTAATTCTTTTTCAAAATAACTATTTAGTTTTTAATTATGGAAAATAATTAAATTAATTGCAAAAGTGTAACTTATTTTCAATTAAATTATTACCAAGAAATTAAAATGAAAATTAGTAAAAGAAAAATTAATGAGGAGAAATACAAAAAAAACCGAGAGGTAGGAAAAATTTGAAGAAAAACAATAATTTTTTTCTTTAATTAATAATGATTAATAGAAAATTAATTTTGCTTTAATTTAATTAATCTTAAACTGAAGAGATAGAATTTTGTAAATTTTTCCTCAAGAAGTAAATTCTCCCTTTTCCAAAAAGAAAAATAAGTTGATTAATTTTGAAGAATATTTTTTTCCCGATATAATTAAAAGCAGCCAAGGATAGAGATAGAAACAAAAAATAGAGATAGTGTGGGAGAGTATATGAAAAAAAAGGAAGAAAGAAACAAAAAAAAAAGAGAAAAATTTTGTAGTATGGCACCGTATCGTATTGTAATTAGAAACAAAGTATTAGACATTAAGTAGTGGTGTTTGGTATTACCGTTCGGGTCCGGGGCAATCGGGTACAGTGATTGAGGCTTTGTACTGTCGGGCCATGGTGATTGGTGGTTGATTGGTTCATTGGTGGTTGGTTGGTAGTTGTTGTCGATTGTTGGAGGGTGGTCCATTTCCGATCGAGTTAGGATCCGTCGTTCCGGGCAGGGCAACGGCAGGGCAACCAGGGGGGCAACGCCGGGGTCGGGGCGGGGCCAGGGCACAAACCATGAACCAAGTTAGACCACGATTCTTGTCTCAATTTTACCCCAATATTTTTTTTTTACCAACCCCATTTTCTTTTCTTTTTTTTTTTTATTATTATTATTATATTTGCCCTCACCCACCCCTTTTTCACTGTCCAAAAAAATATTAAAAAAAAAATCTCTGGCATGGCATTCAGCGAGCGAGGTAAATATTTTTTTTCAAAAATTCGTACTAGACAAAAAAATCATTGTTTATTTAATAGCTAAAAATTGAATTGTTCAAAAGACATTTAAAAAAATTTCTTTACTTTTAATGATAATTGACTCTCGCTCGCCGATTAATTAACCTGAATATATTTTCAGTTAAAAGCCAACTCCAGAATTAAAGTCTCTTAAATATAATAAAGTTGTAAAGTTTTACATAGTTAATAAATTCAATGAATAAGAATAAATTAATTGAGCATGATAAAAAAAAATGAATCAACTGCGTAAAACTTTACTTCAATGAAAAGTTTAAATTCTAATGAATCCTAAAATCGAGTATATTACATCTATAGTCTTTGAATCTCTTTCAATCGATAGAAATTCATTTTTACAATTTCCTATCACTAAAAAAGTAGATGTTACTAAATTTTTTTCATTAATATTTCAGTGAATGATTCGAATTTTAATGGGAAAAGAAAACTTCAAAGTAAGAGAAACAATTTAAAGAATGACGCGATAAAAAAAGAACAAAAGAGACATTTTTTTCAAAAGTGAGTATTAAAAGATAAATTGAATTTAATTAACTATAATTAAATTACAAAATTGAATTCAAAGTTATTAAAAATTCTTTAACCAATCTTTACCAAAATAAACAAATAAAGTAAATAAATATAAAAATTAAAATAAATTTAATACTGTAAAAAATGTTCTTTGCTCTTTTTAATTACTTCAGCTTTTAATGCGCCAAGTAAGATTGAATAATCGTTAACAAGCGGCCAATAGCAAATTTATCAATAAATTTCTCTCTGTATTGAGATTCACGGATTAATAAGGAAATATAAAATCAACAATGAAATACATCAAGTGACGTGTATAGGCACTGAAGCGTAACCAAACAATGGATTTTATATTGCTCATATATAGATACAGTTAAAAATATCAGAAACAATATGAAACGAATATTACTCTTTTTTTAATTATTCGGACGCCAACGTCAAAAGGAAACATTTACATAACAATAATTCTCTGAAAAAAGATATCTTTACAAATAAATTCTAAAACAAAATTTATGAAACTTATTTAAGTTTCATAAATAACATTTATTGATTTAAATTATATTTAATTGTGAAAATTAAATTAAAATTAAATTGAAATTTTTGCTATTTTATTTTTGTATCAATCTTAATTGGTCGAATTAAAAACAATTCGATTATTTAGTAACAAATACTTGATAAACTACTTATTTAGGAAAATATTTATATAGGATTCAATTAATATAAGTTTAAAAAAAAAACAAAAAACTGTTAACCCTTTGAGTCATGCTATTCAAAACGTTCCAAGAAAAACGTTTTCTTATCAGAAATTACTACTGCAGGAGCAATAAAAAGTAAAAACTAAATGTAAGCACTTAAGAACAATAAAAATGGATTTTTTTTTTGACATTTCATATAATGATTATTAAAAAGTAATACAAAATTTTCTGAGAAAAATGTATAATTTCATATTTTTTGTAACGTTTAGAATTTTTTAATTATATAGAAAAAAAAACCTATTGAAATAAAAATCGATAATATTGATTACTTTGACAGAAAGGGTTAAACAAGTCTGTTACAAAAATATTTTATTTTCAGAAAAAAATTGAAAAGAAAAAGGAAAATTAATTATTTTTCAACTTTTATATGAATGAAAATTATAAATAAATGAATCCTAATTAAAATAATTTCCTATTTTATACTATCTAACGGTTTTTATTCTTTGTCAACTAAATTTAAACCGATTTTTATTGAAAAAGTTCTCAAGATTGTTAAAAAAAAAAGAAAAAAAAACTATGGAATCTCCTTTTTGTTTAATTGTTCAAAGGAGACAAATATTTATATAGGAGAAAAGGTTTTTTTTTCCAAATATTACGAATAGACTGAATAATCAACTCGACGTAAAATGGATTAGCTAACCTGGCTTCGAAGTTTTGTGATATTTTGTCCTCCTTTGCCAATTATTGAACCGGCAACCTGGAAAAAAATTTTTTTTTTTATTAACATAAAAACATTTCAAAATAAAGAGAGAAAAATTTTTGTTTTGTTCAGCAAAAAATAAGCAGTAACAATTATTCTTTCTATTAATTCCTACTATTTTTTTTTCTTTTAATTTTAATTAATTTATTATAAATTTCAATGAAAATTAAAAATTTAGAGAAATAAAAATAAATTTTTTGGAAAATTTCTAATAATCTTATGCATCATTTAGAAGAGAGACAATAGAGTAATAAAAGAATATATCTATAACAATATTTCGAGAACAATTATATTTAACGAGATGAAGAACATTAAATTTTAAGATCATAAATTATGAGACGTTAAAAACAATTTTTGTTTTGAAATTTGTCTGTAATGAAAAATTATTATATAAAACCATAAACAATTTTAAATTTGTAACTTTTTCTAGTGCAAGATTGTCATCCAAGTTGCGACAAGTTGAATAACGTGCTATTTAATGTGCACGAATAAGCAAGTGGGTTTGACCTTCATGATCACTGAGAAAGGTAAATACGAGGAGTGACTAAGAATGCAGTCTTACTGCAACAACCATAGAATGCTGCGTCTTGCGACAATGATCAATGATCTCATTATGCAACCGCACACATTCATATATATATATATACCTATATTAAATTCTTACAAAAATGGTGATTTCATCTTCATGATCTGTACAATCGTGAAAACGTGATTTCTTTCCAAAATATTCTGAGACTTACTTTATTTCATATGAATAAAATATGTTTCACGTTTCACATTTTTTATTATGTTTTTTTTCATATTTTCTAAAATTAAATATTATTAAAAAAAACACAACTGAATAAATTTTTATTTATTCCAAAAATAAAATATGATCATTTTATAGAGTCTCAATTAAATTCCGAATCACTAAAATGAATTTTCAAAACGAAAATCTTTCTCAACTATTTAAGAAAAAAGTTTGTGAACTTATTTTTTTTCGAGAAAAGAATCAATCGAGAAGAGACGCGAAAGAAGAAAATACAACACAAAAGCATTCTCGCGACGTATTTCTTAAGAACATAGAAAATGGAACGCGTTACTTTATGGCTGGACAACTATACAGCAGCTTTTATGCCCGTGGATAATTCTCACCCATAAGATGGAAGTCAATCGAAAGAATGCACATTTACGATTTTCCTGATTTCAAAACGATGCTGTCCAACACAACCAATTCAAGTGAGGTGAAAGTAGACACCCTGGATTTGTAAATCTCCTTGCAAAATAAGCATTTGTTTTTTTTCTCCTTCTTATTTTTATTTATTTACTCACTAGGGAATAGTCTCTCCCTCTCTTTCTCTCTTAAGCAAAAAAAGAAAAAAAAAAGAAAACGGAAAAACTTTCTAAACATTCCACGTAATATTGTGAATAATCCTTAAAGAATTATTTTTCCTATGAATTTCCGTAATTAAATACAAAATTTTATAAATTGAATTTATGGATAAAATTAAAATACCTAATTTATTAATTAAATGAAGTATATTATTTAATATTTTATTAATTGAACTGAATGATTTATTATTACTGCAATTTTTAGTGTATGAGAGTATTTTATAAAATGAAAAACTAAAAATTAAAATATGAATTAGCTTACCTTGCTGGGGATGAGTAAACGAAGTTCATCATCGCCTTGTCTGTAGCGTTTATGGGGACTAATTGGTCCACCGCTACCTGCCATACCTCCGGCATCAGCCTCTCTCTTCATTATTGCTAAAACAATAACAAAAAATATTAAATTTACATTTTCATGCTTGAAATTTCAAAATACTTTTACCAAAAGCTAATTATTTCTTTCATTTATTTTTAATACGTTTATTATTATTGAATAAATAAATCCAAACAGGATTAAAAAATTTACATTATTTTAGAGTTTTGATATCTAAAGGCATTAAAATATTAATATTTTTTCTGGTGATTTTTTTTTGTTAATAATAAATGAACTCACCGTTAATGTTGCTCAAATTCCTCTAGCTTCTGAGATGAACTGGTGGTATGATATCCTTAAAGAAAAAGAATAATGTTATTTTTCTTCTCTGCAACGAGTCACATATCGCACACGCAGAGCAAAGTTGCGAACGTACATGTTACAAACAAAAGTAGGTCAATACTTGAATTAAAAAGAAAATGAAATCCTTTAGTCATCAAAGCAGATGTGAAATTAATTTACCATTCGAATATACTTTTTATCATGGACAATTATTATTAAAGTTGCATGTATGTAGGCAACAATTAACGAAAATTAATTTCTTATTCGAAAACAAACATAACTTCTAGAAAGTGTCAATAAATCTCAAGTTTCTCATTGAAAATCTAATCATTGACTAAACAATTTTCTAAAATACTGAATCTTTCAAACTTTTCCCGTGCGAGTCTTGTGAAATCTTCCATAAGACTTTGTCAATCTTTATTCAACTTCCTACACACATTTTTCAACGAGAAAAAAAATATATTTTCAATCAAACTTTCTAATTTTCAAATTTTTTTCTCTTTACCTTAAAACTTTGTTTACTTAATAATCAATTTTAACAAAAGTCTCAAGTATTTTTAGAGGGAAAAAAAAATGCTTTAAAAAAAAACTTTCTAGGGCTGTAAAATTTTTAAAACGGAAAAAACGAATTCAAAGGTTTTCGATAACGTTTCACACACGGAAAGTTTCAATTCTCTTTCCTCCAATGAAATCTTACAAGTTATGCGTGTTCGAGTTACGAACTATTGTATTCAAAGCACGCAAATTGCACCGACCGTTATTCATTATTTCGGTAAAAAATCAATGTAAAAATTGTGTTACAACATGAAAAAAAAAGGATTTTCATATATTACCCGTTATTTATTTACTGTATTTATTTTTTAGTTTCATTTATTATAATAAAAATCCCAAACAGAAAAAATAAACCAGTAACACAAAAAATGGTAAATATATAATATTGTAGAGAATAAATAAAAGAATTCAAAACTATAAAGAATAAATGAATAATAAATTCAAATATTCTATGAAACCTTCTCTATTTTTTTTTTTTTTTTTTTTTAACAAAAGCTATTTTCACTCGCAAAGGTGAAAGAAGTTGGTGCCCAATTGTTCTCGTGATAAAATCCGACTCTCCCTTGTGCTATTGTGTGTTGATCTTCTAATTAACTCCCCTCAATAATATCCTCAATGAAAAATTGTTTATTAAAAAATTCCAAGTACTTTTGACACAATCTGACTTTTGCGGTATTTACCAGGATTTTTTTTTTTTATTTATTTAATTAAAAACCTAAAATTACTTCTATTTTTTCTTTACACTCGGAATTCAGACGGGGAAAAAAATACAGTATTAAATTACAACAAATTTAATTAAATCGAAACTGAAACTTTGTTTTGCATGACTCTCAAGTTTTTATAAACGATTATTAATACCAAGTAAAAAAAAATTTATAACACAAAGTAATAATTATGCCAATTATTTGAAAATAGTTTTTTTAAAGTTAAAATTGTCATTCTTCGTGGGAATTATTGTAAATTGATTTTAATATTTAATAATAATTATTTATTTTTATAATTTAAGTATTTTATTCTAACCGTAGAGAAAAATATTTTAAATAACAAAATTTTGTTTAGATCAACAAAATTTTTATTGTCTCTATCAAATATTTTTGATAATCTAAACATTTGTAGAAATTGTGTCAACTGCAAAATTTTTCTCCTTACAAAAAATTGTTTAAATATTTTGTTGGTAAAATAAAATATTTTTTTCAGTGAATTCATTAAAATTATTGATTTAAAAACTACTGTTTGTTAGAACAAATATTGATTTTAAGTTTATTATAGTTTCGAGCAACCTTTAATTATTTAAAAATTAGTATTGATTGAAACTTGTATTGTTTGTAACTATTCTGTCTAAAAAATTAGTTTCCATAAAATATTTTTAGCTTAAAAAAAACTCGTTAATTGCACTATTTCAATGTTTAATTCAATTGTTACTCCAAAATTTTTTTTATTCAAAAAAAAATAGTAAATTACATCATTCTTTCGAAGAAAAAGAGTTAACCAAACAATTGCGAATTAAAATACAAAAATTATAAAACAATTTTTTTCAGTATAGAAAAAAACAAACACATACTTGAAATTTTACTTCCTCAATTCGACTTAGCAACGAGACACACAACACGGATAATATAAATTTCTTTTCTCAAAGTCTAAAAATCTTTTTTTTCTTCTTCTTCTTCTTATCCCTCTTTTGCACCACTACAAAACTTTCACCGAGAGCACTGACAATACATTTCCTTTTTCCGCAATACACTCTCTCACAAACAAAGAAGAAAAAAATTGCGGATGCTCATTAGTGAAATGCGTGATTCAAGTTAAATAGCGTGCAGATTGTCATATTGATCAGCTGATGGTCGGGTGGACACTAAACTAGTTCGTGGAATTCACCCCTATTGTTTTGAGTGTGCGCATGCGTCACACTCACCTTATGCCTTCATCAATTGCTTTACTATGTACTCCCCCCCTCTCACTCTCACACACTCTTTATCCCAACCCTCCCCCACCTAAAAACCCTTCCCTTTCAATATTCAACACCGATCCACATCCAATCCACCCCCTCATATCCAATTTCTATCGTTTGCGAAACAATTAAATACAACAAAGTTAACTTTGTTTATTTAAAGAAATTTAAATAATTTATTTTTAAATAACCTGTGGCAAAAAAAAAATGAAGAAAAGAAATATTTTCTTTCATTTTTTTTTAAATAACTGGAAGAAAACATACTCTATTGATCCAGGAACCTATCTGTTGCGAGTCAAGTTTGAAACAATACTGAGAGTTTTAGCGAAAATGGACGTATCATGTTTAAAGTTACAGAGGTTCGAATTCATGAATGAAAGTTTAATTTTAGTTCATTAGAGCGCGAAACTGATGATGTAAATAATTTTAATTGTTTTATGCCTCGGAGCGACTTTAAAAGACACACAAAAAAAAATGGCATTACATTACATGGAATATGAAGTCTTTTTTTTTAATCTTAACTAAAAATATTTTTTAATTTATAATTCTTTTAATAAAAATAATTCCTACAGAGTAATTCAAATAATATAATAATTCCTACAGAAACAATTAAAAAATCAGAAAAAGAAGGTAAATTATTATTTTCATAACTTAAAAACTTTCTGATTATGAAAGAAAAAATAACATTTGCAAAAATTTACTTTAGCAATTTTCTTTTAATAAGGAAATTTTCACTAAAGAAAGAAAAGTCGCGAAGCGGAAATTTACTGAATTGAAATTGAAAAATACCCCTTTTTTTCATGTTGAATAAACGAAAACATTTACTAAAAGTGTTTTCATTAAGAAAGAAAGTCAAAAGCAATTAAAAGTATCTTTTTTTTCATAAAAAAAGTCAATTTTTTTTTTTTTTAGACAAACAAATTATTTTCTTTTCTATATTTCTTGTCATCAAACAAATTATATGGCAAATTCTGTCTTAATCAGTTAAATTAGCAGAGAAGGTAATATACTCTCTCCTAATGACATCGATATCTTTGAATCGTCTGAGAGTAGATTTATCACTAATTTGCGCAATATTATTTACTATTATGATTAAATCATCATGTTCAGCCATTAGTTTAAACAAATTATAATGTCACAGTATATATTGATATGTAAATTTTCTAAATGTTTTTTAAAGTTTATTTTGCCCATATATCTTTAATATAATAAAGAAATAAAATTGTTAATTAATTATCATAACTTTTCTATTTAATAAACTCAATTTTTAAATAAAAACCATTTTTTTTTAAATATGGTGCGTCAATTTATTTTTTATTTTTAAAAAAGTAACGTTCCTTCTATGAAGTGTAAAAATAAAAGTATTATTTCAGATCAATAAAAATAATATATATAAGTTAAAATTTCAACTCACCACAAAACAGTTTGATTTAAAAAGAAGAAAAGCCTCTCTTTCTTGCTAAAACATAAAAAAAGCAATATTATTTTTAACGTGCATATGAACAATAAAAGAAAATATAAATTTTACACACGCAAACGTAATATATCTAACACAAAATTACACATGTTTTATACTATATAATTTTGACTTTGAAAAAAATTATTTATTTTTCTTAGAAAAGAAATTCAAAATTTCAATAATTAGTAAAAATTTAATAATTCAATTAATTTTCTAATTTTTATTAAATATAGATACTGAAAAATATTGATAAAAATTTATAAATTCTAAAGTCAACAAAATTTCTCAATATATTATTGTGTAAAATAAATATTGATTAGAATTTTTTTTTTCTAAAAGAATATCAGAGACTCTCACTAAAAGAATATTAAATTATGCATTTAAATAAAGTTGATAGTATTTGCACAAATTTAATAAAATGTACAGTGACATACATTTTTTGGTATACATTAACAGCGTACCTGTCGCGCAAATAACATCGTATATCAATTTTATGAATAAATTATAATTTACATTGAATGTATATCTTTATGTACAATTTCATATATACTTCAACAGAATTTCTATATATGAAATATAAATCCAAAAAGTACGGCTATGCTACAGAGAAATATTATTTTAAAAAAAGAACTGAAAAAATTATTATTTTTTAAATAAAATTTACAATCCAATTTTTAAATTATTTATTTATCCATTTAAATTATCTATTTAATTTGTAAAATAAAATAAAACATTCTTACATAACGAACACATAAAAACACACACGAAACCGGTTTCATATTAACTTCGATGAAAAGTTAATCAACGATTAAATGAAATCGAAAAAACACGACCGGTTAAACTAACAATAATTATTAATTAACATTTAATTAAATTCTGCTAAAACAGCTTCTGAAATGTATCTTTACTTAAATAATAACTAATTTAAAAACAAGTGAATCAAATTCTTTAATCATCCACAATCAATAAATACTTTTATTAGTAAAGTAATTTAGTAAACTATTTTATTTTATTGTAGAATTTTTTTCATTATATATTGAAACAAAAAGTTAATAAAAAATAATATCATGCTATTTAATTGATTATTATCAGTTATATATTTAGCTGCTTATCAGTTATTTTTTGACTCATTCAGATACGGCAAATACTATCTATTATTACAAACTACAAAAAAGACGAATTTAAAAATTGTCATTTTATGAAAAAATTAATATATGAAACAATTAGTTATCAAAAGAATAAAAAAAATCGAAATAAATAGAAAATTTAACGAGATAAACTTTCAAATCATAAAATTGTTTAAATAACTAAAATTCGCCTTAATAGTCTAAATGGTTAAAAATTGGTCGAAAGGCTACTTTCTAAATTCCTTCAGATATTTATAAGATTTCACTTTTTTTCAAGTGAAAAATTGAACCACTGTAATTAGAATGACAATATTCTTTTCAAAATTACTCCCTGAATCTTTAAACTTTGTAGACAACACAATTTCTAAATACATTTTGGTTCCTATAAAATTAAAATCGTCTGCATTTTATTATCAATTTAAATATTCTTTAGATAAAAAATAAAATTTACCCTCAAGAATATTTTTTTGAATTAAGATTCCAATTAAGTTTTAGATTCTAATTTAAAAAAATATATTCTTATTTCAAGAATATAATATCCACTATAGATTAGCTTCAATTCAATGAAGAGTTAAAAATTACACTTTCAAAGAATTTTGAAAATATGTAGTTACAAAAATTAAAACAAATTAAACCTTCAAAGAAAAAAATTAAACAATATACATTCTTCACACAAAATTTGACTATGAAATAATGAATAAATAAAAAATGAACTACCTCAATGATATGAAAATTGATGATCAAGCAATATCTTCACGGGCAGGGGTTGATCGACAGAATCGCTACGAACGTGTATATAAAACGGCAGCACATACTCAAGTCTTGCTGAGTAACCAGCTTAAAAGTGAATCGCGTCGTTTCATAAAAAAAGACTTTTTTTCAACCGCAGGGACGTGAAGGACTTTCACAAGACTATTGTCACAGGAATCCGTCAAAGTAACTAATAAATTATTAGAATGACACGAGGATGCACACATTATCCGAAAAAAAGTGGGTGCTCAAAATCTCGTAATGCAAAACGAATGAAAAAAAAACCAATTATTAAATCCTTTTTCGATCAAGTGAAAAAAGAATAAAAGAAAAAAATTAAAAAGAAACCAAAAAAGAGAGGCTTACTGAAAGGTCCGTCGCGGCCAAAGTGTCAGACACGATATCCGGTTGAAGTATATATATATATATAACCAAAGAGATGATCAAACCCCGGATGCACGTAATATTTTCAAAGAACCCGAAGTGTGTTCTCCACTTAGTGTCGTGGTTGTTTGTGGCTCCCAATGCCCTCAAACTGGCTTCTTATCTCGTGGATCGCCCAATCAAAAAACCGACATCATCCCTTACGTCGATTGGCCGAGTACGGCCACTACAACGATTGCAATTGGCTAAACAGCTTAAGTTACCTTGACTACCGTTGGCATCAACAATATAACCATGGTCGATAATGTGCCTACAACTTTATATTATATATACATATATATATATTTTCTTGCCTGGAGCTTTGCATCATCGACAACTACTGACCCTTGCCAACCAAGGTTGGCCCTTTTCTCTGTAAAAGACTCCTCGAGAGCTTCGTGACGATTTCAGGCCATTAAGAATGTGTTTTAGATTTGGAACGAGTTCATTATCCCCCTTGGTTCTAATCCATAAAAAAGGACCTTGAATAACCACTTTCAATGTCTAATGCATTGTTCAAAATTTATTTAAAATTCCCGGTGATTTTACCGAATGAGTGGTATTCCGAATTTGACTATTTTCCGAAAGACAGATTTCCAAATTTAAATTTCCAAATATATTTTTCCGAATTTAAAAAAAATTATTTAAAAAAAACTCAATAATTACAATATTAAGAGCCAGGGTTCTTAAATAGTCCAGAACACGGTTTTCATTGTTATATATTCGTCATATTCAAGGCTGATAAACCTCATTTGTGATTTTAATGCAAGCCACTTCTGTTTTGGTCATGCTTTCAATTATTTTCAAAATTGTAAAAACTTGAGTGAATATTTGTGGGCAAACCTAAAGAAAATTGTATTTAATACTAAACTAAACTTCTAAGAATGGTCAAAATATTAGTAGTATTATTAGTAATACTGAATTATCATTAAGAGATTTTCCAATTAAAAGCTATATAAAATCAATGTAACAGTCAAAATTTTCTATTATACCCCCACAGCACCGAAACTTTCCTAAAGATTTCCTAAAGATTTATTTGAAATATTCGGAATATTTAATTGCAATGTTTAGTGAAAATTGTGTAAAGATTTAAATGTCCCACTTGAATAAATGTTGAGAGCGAAACTTTCCTGAACATTT